TGACTGTAATGGATTCTGAAACTCATCTTAAAGATGTTTCTTCAAGAAGTGCTCAACACTCCCCACGACCTGCTGATTATTTATGCAGGCAGTATAATTGTGAATTGTTAATGCACTATTGTTGGCTACAGTGTAATCTGGGGTAATTTATTGAAATCAAACTTTTTCTTGATTTTGCAGTGCAATCGGAGTGAGGCTATAAAGCTTCACTTGGCTTCCGAGATTCTTTCTGATTATACTGTAAAATCAAGACACCATTAAAGCAGTGTTTAGACAGTCAGATGCTAGTTTTGTCACACTTGTGTTTATGGTTAACAGCGCAATTCAGATTGTAATGGTTATTTAGGGAATAATGAAAGGTTGCCATGAATGAAATATGCAGGTGACCTGAATTGCCATTATGAAATGAAGGAACTTGATTCTCATTTTGGTATAAGGTTCATTGGAGGCAAACTCTTCTCCTTGCTCACCTGCAGCTCTTGTCAGTAATGATTTGAAGTGGCACTTTTCCCCACATACAGTGATCTCCTGTTCTCATGCGTACCATTGCGGAGGAGTTGCCAGCAGATGCAAATCACCTGCTGACAGCGAGTCAACGTGTAAATGACTTGCACCACTTGTTGAGCGACTGGTCAGGGGCTGGTTACCTTGTCGGAGAATATGTGGGGTAAGATGTTGAACAGATGGATGGAAGAGATTGGGGGTAACCAAAACACATAATAAGGGGCATTTTATTTTCTAAAGCTAAGCTATATCCAGCCAGAATTTTGCATCCTTGATTTTCAATTTAGTACAGAGTAGTGTTGCCTTGAAATTCAAACATACCACACAATTGACTTCCAACACAAGCAGACCCAGGTAGGGTGAGTTGTACTGATGTCTGGTTGCTTGCTGGGTTAGGAACTACTTAGCGTAGTGAGCGATAATATTTCTGAGGGCATTGTTTAAGCCTTACAGCAATACAACAACTTGCAGCGCCCTTCACGTAATGTATTGTCTCAGAGTTCTTCACAATGACAGGATTGGACATCAAGCAAGGGAGAAGAGAGGTGAGAGGGGCTCCGATTGGAATTGTTGCCCAACAAACAAGCTGACTCGCATGTGTCCTTAATAATAATAATAATAATAATCCTTGCATTTGATATAGCGCTTTTCACGTCGAGAGGACGTCCCAAAGCGCTTCACAGAACACACTGCAAAGTGAATTGACTGTATATTTGTGGGCGAACGCGGCAGCCAATTGCGCACAGCAATGTCCCACAAACAGTCGTAGATTGAAAATGACCAATTTATTATTGTTTTTGTTTTTGGAGGGATTATTATTAGGCGTGTGGAGTAAGGAAACTTGCCCAAGGTTTCGCCCTGCCTGGAATTGAACTCAGGTCTCTCACTTGCAAAGCGAGTGCTCTAACCACTGAGCTACAGGACTCCTTGCATGCACTGCGAGGTACAGTATGCATCATTGACTTCAACAACCTTGCTGTCGACTGCCTTGCTTTTCAAGGACTGTTGTGGCATCTTGCCTGAGTGTAAACAGCTTGCTATAAAAATGGGGAGGAGGAAGAAATTTTCGATGGAAACTAAACATATTCCATGCGAATATGCACTCTCCCCCCCCCCCCAGAGGAACACGCTCTGCTTACATCAATCCGTAGTGTATTAGGCACAAACCACGGCTTGGGGACCCCGGAATATGTGTTAGGATATTGCTGCAGTTTAACCAGTTTGCCATTGAGAGCACTGTCCAGTAAGCTTCCCTGCTGCCTGTCCAGCTAGGGCCAACCTACCTGTTAAGGTGTTGGCTTTGCAGGGTTAACAGGAGCCCCTTTGCTACTTCAGTGCTGCTAACAATAAATTGAAAGCAAACCATCCTGAGAGCTTTGTTCCGCCTGCAAAGTCCTAATCTGCTTGTAGGCAGTATTTTAAATACAATGAAAACAGACATTGCTGTTCTCAGGTTATTCAAAGCCTGTTTCACTGAGAGTTCAGCTCGTTTTTATATCCCGAATGTCTTGTTCGATCAGCTGTCACTTGTCTGGCAGCCCATTCTGTCCTGCTCATCATCCATCAACTAGGCAGACATGCTGCCCTGTGTATGAGTCAACAAGCAGGAGTGAGGTGTTGTGACAGCAACTATGCCCTGAAACCAACAATGTCTGCTTAAATAATAATAATTCTTACATTTGGTACTGTGCCTTTCACATCAGGAGGATGTCCCAAAGTGCTTCACAGCATATATTGTAAAGTGTAGTGGCTGTTTATTTGTTGGCCAACAAGGCAGCCAATTTGAGGACAGAAATATCCCACAAACAGCCAGAGAGTGAGTGACCAATTTTATTTGGGGGATTGTTATAATAATAATAATAATAATAATAATCCTTGCATTTGATATAGCGCTTTTCACGTCAGGAGGACGTCCCAAAGCGCTTCACAGAACACACTGCAAAGTGAATTGACTGTATATTTGTGGGCGAACGCGGCAGCCAATTGCGCACAGCAATGTCCCACAAACAGTCGTAGATTGAAAATGACCAATTTAATTATTGTTTTTGGTTTTTTGGAGGGATTATTATTAGGCGTGTGGAGTAAGGAAACTTGCCCAAGGTTTCGCCCTGCCTGGAATTGAACTCAGGTCTCTCATTTGCAAAGCGAGTGCTCTAACCACTGAGCTACAGGACTCCACAACACCCGTTGTTGGCCCGAACACCAGAGAAACTCCCTTCTCTTTTTGAATAGTGCCCGGGAAGCCGAGTGAGGATGGGGAGTCATGGGTTCACAAAGTCTGGTCGGAAGAAGACATGAGCTGAAGAGTTCTAAATAATCTGCAACTTGTATAGAGAAGACCAACAAGCAGGGAGTTTGCATAATTTGGGTTCAAGAGTTTTGCATTGGGTCAGTGAGCCAAGTGCTAAAGGTTGAGGTCCATATCATCGGAAACATTTGTAGGCCTGAGATCATAGGGAAATGTTTTTCTTCCTTTCTGCTACTGAGATCATCCTCCTTCCTTCCTGTGAACCTGCAACAGATTTAGGGGCTTTGTTATGATGGTGTGAACAGCCAATTTTCACCATGTCAGACAATCATTCTTCACATTGTTGTCTGCTGCAGTGTAAATGCAGCTGATGTTTTTGTCAGCTGGGTATCTGACACACCCGGAAACCCATCACTGTACTTAAGAGAGAGTTAAAACCAATCTGAGAGTTCTCTCAATGCCACCGACACAGTGAAATTCCTGTGTCTGGAGTGGAATACACATCATGTGGAGTCCTGTAGCTCAGTGGTTAGAGCACTCGCTTTGCAAGTGAGAGACCTGAGTTCAATTCCAGGCAGGGCGAAACCTTGGGCAAGTTTCCTTACTCCACACGCCTAATAATAATCCCTCCAAAACCAAAAACAATAATTAAATTGGTCATTTTCAATCTACGACTGTTTGTGGGACATTGCTGTGCGCAATTGGCTGCCGCATTCGCCCACAAATATACAGTCAATTCACTTTACAGTGTGTTCTGTGAAGCGCTTTGGGACGTCCTCCCGACGTGAAAAGCGCTATATCAAATGCAAGGATTATTATATATTATTATTATTATCATCTCCTCGGATGGACACACCCTGCTTACCTAATTCTGCAGAGTATTAAGCACAAGAGCCAAGGCTTGTGAATCCCAGAGTGTATATGGGTGTGTGTGAGTAGGTACTGTTGGAGTTTAACCAGCTAAAACCACATACCCTGCAATGGAAAGCAACTAATGGCTGCTTGTCTCACTAGGACCACTTATCCAATAGGGCTTTGGCTTAACAGGAGCTGGTAAGGAAGAATCCTTTCCACAGTCTGACGTTTGACTTCCAAACTGCCCTGACAATTTCATTTTATAAAAACCTTGATTTTTATTCACTCAGTCTCCTTTTTATCTTCTCCCTCTTCCCTCCCACCACCTCCAACTCGGTGGAAAAAAGTTCCAAGTAGGTTTCTGGAATATGTCCTAGTATTTATTTTTTCCCCATTTTAACTCTTGGCAAGATCATCTTTTACGCCGTTTATGGCTGTGGAATATTAACTTCCCGTTTCAAGCACTGTGTGTTTTGATGTTTCCCGGGTGCTTGAAGCTAAGTGACTTTGAGAAGTTTGTGTGCTTTTTTTCAACCTTCTGTCAAGTCTGGCAGCACAATCGCTGATTAATATCCTGAGCTAATTTCCCATTTTTCAGCTTACAAGGGAGGATCTCTTAACGTTTGAACCTGGTGTATTAAACAGCAGGGTTTATTCCTAAATAAATCCATAGTCTCTCTTCTTTCCTCCCCCCTCCACCCCCATTCTTTTCCCTCCCCCACATACACATGTATTGCCCCAGGGCTGTTTTCTTAAATCCAGACTCTATTCTAGGCTATGACATCTGGCAAGCTTTAGAAACCTTGTGTACTTCTCCTGGCCCACATCCCAGACCTTGTCAACTCCCCCTGAGCTTAGCAGCCTTCTTCCCCCCCACTTCCCCCACCTTATCATCCTCACCCTTCCCAGCTCATCTCCCCCTCACACCTTTGCTTCCCCCTCCATTTTAGCTTACTCCCCCTCCCCACTCAACTGCCCACCGCTACGAGTCCCAGTGTACAGCAGCTCCCAGTAGAAACTGTTTAAGTAATATTATGGGCATTGTTACTCTGGCTGTCTAAACCTATTCCAACAATTGCTTCAGTGTACGCTGGTTTCTAAGCCGGTATGAAAGGTGAAGCCTGTGTGATAAGATAACCCTGTATGTTAACCCAATGTCTCCATCCAGTTCCCTTGCAAGTTTGTATATTAACATTCATTTCAATAACGGTTCATTCTTGACTATTCACTGTCTAATTGTTTGGAACAGCTGGGTGGATACTGACCTGAGAGTGCTGAATCTTGGCTGGTGTCAGACTTTGTTTTTTTCCTGTAATAAATGGTGATGCATCTACATGTTGGTTCCTTAGGAAAATGCTGATCGTATAACATGGTCTCTTATCTCTTATCTCAGGATGAACTTGACCTCAGTGAGAAGCACAGAGAAGCCATGTTTGCACTTCCTGCGGAAAAGAAATGGCAAATATACTGCAGCAAGAAAAAGGTAAGGCAAAAACGTAATCTGTTGTTTGTGGATCACCCTGACTCCCACCTATCCAGTGCTCGTTCCCTCCCTGGAAAATCCCCCCCCCCGCCAAAAAAACAGTAACTCACTGTCCCAGTTAATGAAAATGTCTCTGACGCACTGATATAGGAGGGATAGGAGAAAAGGAGACTGGATTAATTGCGGATGTGGAAGGGAGGATGAGAGAATGGTGAATGGTTGTTTTCTTTTGGAGTAGGGAGTAACCAAACACCTCGATATTAAATTACAAGGTTAACAGTTTTGAAATGAGTCAAATCCTTCCACTCTGATAAATTGCTCCAGAATACCTTTTTCATTTCCTCCAATGCAAAAACCAATTTTTTGAAACAAAAATAGCAGCTAACATTCGGTTTGCGTTACCTAACCGGATACAACTTGGTTTGGGGACAAGCAAAAAAAAACAGTCCTTTGTGGAATGAGATGGATTGAGATGTTGCAGTTACCATCTGCTGAAATGTTGCCCAAGTAACTTTGACCCATTTTGAACACTTCAGCAATGTTTTCTGCCTGTCAGGTTGTTTTATTCCCTTGTTCAAAGGCAGGGCAGAAGCTATTTCCAAAAACCGTTGAATTGCCCAGAACCACAGCAAAACTCTCACTACTTAGAAGGTGGGATATCTGAGAAATTATTTCTGTGGCATTAAAAATAAATAAATAATTTGGTCACTTAACCCACGACTGTTTGTGCGGCACTGCTGTGCACAATTGGCTGCCACATATTCCCCCCCCCACAAAATATACAGTCACCTCAAGGATTGACTATGAAACTCCCTCGTCGGCATCCCCAACTCTTCTCACCACAAGCTGCAGATCATCCAGAACTCTGCACCTCGTGTCGTCTCCCGCACCAGACTCCGTGATCCCATCACCCTCATCTTCACCCGGCTCCACTGGCTCCATCCTTCAGAGGATAGAATTCAAAATCCTCGTCCTCACCAAGCCCTCCACGGCCTTGCCCCCTCCTACATCTCTGACCTGCTGACCCTTATCAACCGCTCCCTATCAGCAAGCTCTGGCCTGCTCCATGTCTCCTGCCCTACCATCAGCGGCCGGGCTTTCAGCCTCTCTGCCCCACGCTCTGGAACTCCACCCCACAATCCTTTGCCTTGCTCCCGCCCTTGCCTTCTTCAAGGCACGACTCAAGATCCTCCTTTTCGACCGTGCCTTCAGCTGCCCTCCTACCTCCCTGCCCTCCCTCACCCCAACTCTGTCCTCCTCACGCTCGGGCCCTGATTCCTGACTGTTCAGGCCTTGGGACGTCTTCCCGACGTGAAAAGTGCTTTACAAATGTAATTTTGTTGTTGTCAATTCACTTTACAGTATATTCCGTGAAGCGCTTTGAGACGTTTCACCAACGTGATAAGGCACTATATCAAATGCAAGGGTTATTAATACATTGGTGGGGGGTAGATTGGATTTGTTTGTTGGTCCATCACTTCATGGCTGTTTGTGGGACTTTGTGGTGTGCAAATTGGCTACCGTATTAGTTTACAAAATACGGTCACTGCACTTTATAGTGTATCCTGTGAAGTGCTTTGAGGTGTCCTCCTGATGTGAAAGGCACTATATCAAATAAAGCAAGGTTTATTATGTATTTATTATGTACCTCCTGACTTTTCGCGGTTATAATGGGATTCCCCCTGGTGTTTCTATTTTTACAAGGCTCATGTGAGCCCCCAGCTTAGGGCTACACTTAGGCACAAGTGTATCTAATTTCCTGAGGGTTAAGGGTTTGTGCTTGTATAGACTGCAGCAGGACAAACTTCCTATGTTGATATTATACTCATCAAAGAGGGCTGTGCTCAATGTGCATTTAGAAGAAGGAACTTGCAGTCATGTAACAATTTATGTCAAAACTTCTCAAAGCACTTCACTCGTCATGATGATGATGATAATATTAATAATAATAATCCTTGCATTCGCCTTTTACGTCAGGTGGACGTTCCACACGCTTCACAGGATATATTATAAAGTGGATTGACTGTGTATTTTGTGGCCAAAACGTAGGCATGTGCCTCTTATCAAATACTTTGATAAATCCTTACCTAATTCCTCCTTGAATTTGCTTTGCTGACACAATCCTGTGGCAACTTTTAACCTGTGACTTGTGCTTTATCTCACTATAGGTTCTTAGTTCTCTGTTTTAATTCAAAATCTCTGCTTAATCCCGTTTAATCCCTGTGAATTGTATGGAGCGGTTTCCCAAAGGATTAGCTGCTCTTTGGAAACGTATTCTCGATCAGCGATTACTTAATGTCTGCCACTTGAACAGACAGCTTAAACCTTTATGCCGCCACAAAAAATACTTTTCATGAAATGGTAAACATGTAACATTTAAAAAAATATATACTGTGGTGCAGCAGCAGAGAGGACTGTCAGCTAAATGCCTTTCATCATTGTTTCACTTTAAAACATCTTTTCATTGCAAAGATTTTTTTTAAAGCGACCTGAAGTAGCACAAAACTTTAAGACCAGACGAGTCAACTGCTGTTTTTCTTCTCCCTTACTTCCTTTGATATTCATTGGCGACAGTGGTGCTGTGCAGTGTCCAGATTTTACAGGATACGAGCCTGCAGAAGAATGTATTTCCAAACCTCTTCCTAACCGCCAACATCCAGGTTCTTATTTATAGCCTTGACTTCACCATGTAATGATAGGGTGATGCCATGTTAGGAAGCAGTGTTAAGACTGCGGGACAAGTGTTTCCCACTGAGTTTTATGTCCTGCTTATTCCATTGTGTTGTATTCCTATTGGAAATCTTTTGTTTAATTTGCCTTTTATTCTCATCCTCCTAAACTATTTCTCAGTGTTTTTAAATACCCTGCTTAGTTTGTGTGAGAACCTTTTTTTGTAGAATCAAATCAATGAGTGGGATATCAATGGTAGACATGAGGTGCTATCTGTCGGCAATCCACAGTGGTCAGGGTTGCCTTGTGGGTCATTGTGTCCTCTGGATTTGAGAGAGGTTGATCTTGAACGCAAATGTCTGAACTCGGGGGGTCTAAAATACGTGACGTCCGAATTGATTCCTTAATTAAGAATCCCGGTTAGAATTCCTATCTACCTACCCAAGAACTGCGCTCTGAATGAAGGCAGATTGCATTGGATTTGAATTCACAAGTGGTGTGACTTGCTCCTCATTATTATAAGGAGTTGCTACCATGTTTCTTTATTAAGGAGACATCCTAGAAAATGATGGATATTACATCCGATTGTGTAGGATGCCATGTTCAGTAATGTTAACAATAATCCTTGCATTTGATATAGTGTGCTTCACATTGGGAGGATGTCTTGAAGCGCTTCAGATTTTTCTGTGAAGTTTAGTGACTGTACCTGTAAGCGAATTTGAGCTCAGCAATGTCCCGCAAACACCCAGGATGAATCGGCAGTTGACTGGAGAATCGCTTGTTAGGACACTGGGAGAAAACTTTGCTCTCTTTGCAAATAATGGTCTTAGTTTAACATTTCATTAGCTTGGATCATGAGCTCAAAGTCACCAACTTGAGACTTGAACTCACAACCTACTGACACAGAAGCGAGAATGGTACCAGCTGAGCAAGCTAACTCTTGTCGAGCTTGTTTCTGGTGACGTTAAAGGCAAGACTGCTCAGTTGATGTGTATCCTCGGCCTCACTGAACGCTGGATTCTGTACAGCCTGCTCCTCTCAGAAAACCCTGACCCATCATATTAAAGTGTAAAACATAGGAGAGAAGATGAGATCATAAGAGTTTTGCTTGCAGAAGGTCCTACATTTCATTTGATCTCCTCCTTCCAGAATGCCAACCATCCCATCTTCCCAGTGTCCTGATCTCCCCCCTTCCCTATAGCCCATTCTAACTGCTTATTGCCTGCTGTGTAAATAAATACTTCATGTTATCTGTTCTAAAATCACCCTTCACAACCCTGAACCCATGCCCTCATGTCCTATCATCTTAGTGAAAAGATATGCTCTGGGTTTGCCTTCTCTAACCTACCACAAAAATCAAGGGTATGAAATATCTGCTTTCTAACAATGACCATGTTTACCTCTCACACCCAGGTTTTCGCTGAGTCTGGTAAACCTCCAAATCTCTTTTCATAGTATCATGAATAAAGAGATTACTTTGCTTAATTACAAATGGATTAAAGCTTTCAGTGAGGTCAGGTTGGAGTCTTCGGAGGTATTACTGTTGGGGGAAAAAATACCACAGACAAAGTCCACAGCCCTGAAACTAATTTCTATGCAGAAATCTCCACGAGACTAACATTCCTGCGGAGGCTTAAATGTAATTACTTTTCACCAAACAAATGCCTGCCTCAGTCCAACCCCATTCTCCTCTTTAGTGGAACAGTTCACCAAAGCTTGTCCCTATACTTTGATTTCTTTAAATGTTCTCGATCTGCAATTTGTTCTTTTTTGTTTGCATTCCAACTTCAATTCAATTCCATCTTTAATTCAATTAGCTACCATGTTTCAACCACTAAATATATAGTCAATCCACTTTACAATGTATTCTGTGAAGCTCTTTGAGTTGTCTCACTAACGTGATAAGACACTATATCAAATGTCAGGATCTTTATTATTATTACTTATTATTAATAATTCCTGTGATCAAAACAGGGTTTCCATATTATTGCTTGGTGATTTGCCTTAAAAACTTGACCCTTCTCCGACAGCGATGAGGCTCCTTTTTACCCTTAGCTTGGCTGCATCTTTGCCCTTCACTTGCCTTATTCTCCGTGTCAAGACAAGAGAATTTAGTCTAAATTTTGGGAGGCAGAGAGAAAACTCTGAGGGAGTTCGCTACAAAAGTCGAATTTCTAAGTATCAGATGTTTCGAGCAAAGCATTCTTCAGCACGTTTCCAATGTTTTAGGGATTTTGACTCACATTTATTGAGAAATCTGTTATGAAATACAAGAACTGCATATTCAATCCAAGTCAAGGAATTTAAATGGTATTCTTCTGTCCTCCTGAGACGAGATGTGATCTCTTAAGCTCAGAGGCTGAAGCTCTGCTCCTGCAGCAGTGATGAGGAGCGAGGCTGTTGGTTTTCAGTTCTCACTTGCTGAGAATTCAGGGCTCATTGTATTTTTTTTGTCATGAACGGAGGTGGTTTTATGTTTGTGCACATTCCAGCCTGAGTTGGATTGGAGTGACATTCCAGAGCAAAATGGTAGGTGTGAAGTATTCTGTTTTTCAAGCAGGTTCTCTGTGTCAAGTCCTCGTGTGCCAAACCATAAGCATTGCCTGTTTTGAGCGGCTCCAATTCCAACTTCTGAACCCAACCCAAACCTCACTTGCTGAACAGAACATTGGTGCCACAGGGAGCAGTACACGTTATTCCAAAAACAAACCAGAACTACTCATGTTAAAAGAACACGCTATTCTATTTAAACTCAAGCTCTGTTACCTTGGGCCCCGTAGGTTAAGACCCTTGTTTAAACATAGTCACTTGTGTAAACTATACAACTGCATTGATGCGGTCTGTCTGCTTCTTATCCAAAAAGTAAGATTACTCACAAGTCTCATATGTAAATACAAGAATTGCATTAAACACTCACGGTCAAACTTATTCGAGATTGAATTTGTTCTAAATTGAACTTTGTCTGCAGCCAACCACTGCTGGGGTAATTCCAGTTTGCTTACTGATGACTAGCATAGACATAGTTAAACAGAGAACAGGGGTTTGGGGATGGTGGGGGGGAGAAGAACGTAGAGGCAGAGGCAGCATGCACTGCGGAGTTCTTTGTATTGCCTCCAAATCACTAAACTGTTGGTGTTAACCTGGTGCTCTATAACAACAGTAGTACTGCAGAAGGGAGCCCAACTTCCAAGGTTTAATTAAGATTCTCTTATCGTACTATGCAATTTTGATACCTCCGAGTGGGTTTATGAACAACAGCCATGTGCACTCACTCCACGGAGATCTTAATGGGATGATCTTAGCTACAACATTTTTTGTAATTCTGATTCTGATGGAATCACACAGCACTGAAATGGGCCATTTGGCCTAAGTAATCCGTTGTTTATTCTCCACATGAGCTTCCAACCCTGCTAATCTCCTCCACTGTTCACTTGTCCTTCATATAAGAGCGTTATCTAGAACTCTGCAGCTCGTATCCTCTCCCGAACCAGGCTCTGTGACCCCATCACATCCACCCTCGCCCAGCTCCACTGGCTCCCCATCCCTCAGAGGATCGAGTTCAAAATTCTCGTCCTCACCCAACCTACCTCACCGGCCTGCTGGCTCCTTATCAACCTGTTTACTCCCTCCACTCAGCAGGCTCTGGCCTGCTCCATGACCCCTGCCTGTCCCGTCCCACTGGGGTATCAGTGATCGGGCCCTCAGCTTCTCTGCCTCACCTTCTGGAACTCCATCTTGCATTCCCTTTGCCTCGCTCTCTCCCTTGCCTCCTTCAAGGCATGCCTCAAGACCCTCCTCTTCGGCCACCCTCTCTGTCCTCCACCCTCCCTGATCTCAACCCCCCACCACTCGTCCTAATCCCTGACTGTTCAGTGCCTTGGGGCGTCCTCCCAACCTGAAAAGTGCTTTACAAATGCAATTTTGCATTGTATTGTCCTTGCTCTTAAATACATTGATGCTTTAGCTTCAATCACACCTACTGGGAGCGAGTTTCACATTCTCTCCATCCTGTGTGAAGAAGTTCCTCCAACACACTCCCTATTAGATCTGCTAGTGCCTGGCTTATTCTTATATCTTTTTGTTATCGGCTCACCAACAAGTGGACACTCTTTTGTGTCCAGCTTATTGAACCCTTTTCTTAATTTTAACCTCTTTTTCAGGTCCACTCTCAATGCACTTCATTTCCAGTGAAAACCCTCTTATGAAACACTTAAACTCCTGGGGCAGATGGTGTGAAAGGACTTTTAAAATATGTAGCACATATCAGTATTTCACTTGAAAGTTTTATTTTATTAACGATTCATTCATATTTAATGAAGGAATTAATCTAGCCTCCCATGAACCTTTTGCTGCTTTGACTGGTAGAAGTGGGTTGGCGGGGAAATGTAGTGAAGCATCTAGCAGTCGGTCAATGAGCTGCTTGGGTTCTTGCCATTTCTAATGGGAGCTCCCTCGAGAGGTCATATACTGGATAAGGTTTGTTTGAACACTGCAGGCTCCACTTGCTCTTAGAAGAGCTGGCAAGATGTAAAGATTAACCAAAGACACAGTGGTTAGTGACTTTCAGCGATTCTGAGACATTTTTGATCTTATTTGCTTCCTAAGACCAGAACCATAAGGTGCTAGTTTCCCAGACTATTGTGACTGCATTTTCGGCGGCTGCCTTTTTCAAATGCACCCTGAATAGATATTTCTCAAATACGTTTACCATAGGGACTTATAGGCCTTCAATTCTTGGATACTTGTGGGGAATGTTTGAGGCTTGAAGGGGTGTGGGGATAGGGTGATGCAGTGGGACTGAATGAACAGCTTGTTCCTGGAGCCAGTGCAGACTCAAATGGACCAAATGACCTCCTTCCTCGCTGTAAATATCTATGGTTCGACGTTTCTGGATGGAATGAGGGCATTTATTCCTGTGTGTTTGTGATGGATGTTCTGGCCAGATGTGGTCCTATTTCACAGCTTTTGTTCTTTGTACTCATGTCCTTATTTGCTGTGAGCGTTGGGTGGTGTACAGATCTTGCCCTAGATAATCAACATGATTTGCTTATATTGGGTGCCTTTTTGTCACCTTCCAATCAACCTAAATAATAATAATCCTTACAATTGATACGCTTCGGGAGAACATCTCAAAGCGCTACACTGAGTGTACTGTACAGTGTGTATTTGGAGACTAACTATGCTGTTAAACATTCAGAATATGGGTGCAGGATTGTCTTGGAATTTCCTTCGACTAGCTCAACTACTATGTTTAGGGGGTTTCCTCGAGAAGTAAAGAAATTTTCCCTCATAACAGGGCCGGAAATAATAGGTTGCACGTTTGCTGGGGGTTTCCTCGAGAAGTAAAGAAATGTTCCCTCATAACAGGGCCGGAAATAATAGGTTGCACGTCTCCTTCTGGATTCTGATTTGATAATGTTGTGGTATTTTCTGAAAACCCCCAACGTTACTTATGTTGAGATGAATTGACCATGTTACCTTTCTCGAGTGTTTCACTCTGCTGTGTGTGTCCCTGCTAAACTGGCTGTTTTTCTACCATCTCATTATTGTTCCCACTTCAGAATGGCAGCGCTTTGAAGTGCAAGTAAGCGATTTGAACTCTCCTGTGTTCAAAAAGGTAATCAAATGGGGCTCCTGTGAAGAGGGAAGAGGTCTGTGTCTCTGTTGAGGAGCTTTAATCAGTGTTTGTGTGATGACCTTTAATTGTGGTGGTCGAAGTGCTTGCAAAGTATTTTTTTTGTTCTTTCCGTGACACTTAGGCAATCGTTGTTCATCGAGGAATCAGTGCCTCGAATCTTGGGTGGCTCGGTTCATACTCACATCCTAAAATTAGTACTGTGGTTTATTCTGTCGCACAGAGGAGGGAGTACAGTTCAGTCCATTCAGATATAATGCAGTATATCTGAATGATGACTTCGCAAATACAATGGTAATCCTTACGTAGTGCCTTTCACGTCAAGGGTGCTTCACGTGATTTACCTTGAAGTGCACTGACTGTGTACTTGTAGGCGATTGAGATAGCCAATTTGCCCTCCGCGTGAACGGCGCTATATTAATACAAGTTGCTGTTGTTGCACTCAGCAAAGTGAAGGAAGTCAGAGAGTGGGGGAAGAATAACTGTGCTGTGACATGTCCCATTGCAACACAGTCTCATTTTAAGGAGCCTGATTGCCATGTTATAACAAAGCTGGGGCTGTGTGTGGAATGACCTGTTCCAAGGAAGTGGTGGAGGTGGATTGTGGTGAGCACATGGACCAGCCTGTTTGTCTTTTCCAGTCCTGTACATTCCTTTGTTTAGTTCACGCTGTGTGTTCAGTATTGGGTTTATGTTTCCGCCTGTTTCTGAAAACTGAGCAAATGTTTTGGACACTTTCAAGCCAGATTGTCAGCCTAGGGAGGTCAGTGACTTCAGAAGTCAGAAAGTTATAGATTCAAGCCCCACGTCTAGACTTAGAGCCCATAAAGTCTCAGCCAACACTCCAGTGCAATGCTGGGGGTGTGCTGCATATTCGGAGGTGCCATCCTTCAGATAAGACTTTAAACTGGATGGATGTTAAAGTCCCCATTGCACTATATGGAATGAGAAGGGAGTTTCTCCTGCAATACCAGATGTAAGGATAATTATTATTGTTTTTCTCATGGTCTTCTTCGCTAGCGTTGTTCGGCTTCAATAGCTGCAGGAAAAAACAGTGGTGAATTTGTATCACTGTGGGTTTCCTTTGCTGCCACTTTCCAAAACCAAAGCAAAACGTGAACCAGCCAATAAAAAAGTAGCAAAAGAAGGAAATGAGTGGATCAGGATTTAATAGACAGCCTTTGTGTACACTGTCAACCAAATAATAATAAGCCATGTATTCGATATAGCGCCTTATCACATCGTTGAGACGTCTCAAAGCACTTTGTGGACTACATATATTATAGATTGACTGTATTTTGTGGGTGAAAATATACACTATATAATGGGAAAATATTTATAATGAGAGTGTATTTTAAAATATTTTATAAATAATAATGCACTTTTGCTGCAAAGTTCGTTGCCATTCCTGTGTGCTGTGCTGATGTGTGATATTTTTCTTTTTCAGGACCAAGAAGAGAATAAAGGAGCGACAAGCTGGCCGGAGTTTTACATCGATCAGCTGAATTCTATGGCAGCTGTGAGTGTCCTGTTGGCCTGGTAGTTTTGGTCAGTGCAGTCTGTGTGGCGCTGCTGCTCATCGTAGCCTGGACAGTGGGATTCAGGAATCACTGGAACTTGACTTTCAATAAATGAAGGAGGGGGAATTTTCTGCGATTCCACCAACAATGAAGCTTTTAGAAGATAGCTGCCCGCAATGCCCACACTTTAGTATTTAGAAGATTCAACACATTTTACTCCGAGCTTCTCATTGAGCAGCAATGCTGAGTGTAGCCAGTGCTTTAGAGGGAAGTACATTGAGTTGAAAGGTCAGGTTTTAAGATCAGAACTTTTTCTTCTGTGTGCTTTTGGATTTAATATCTGGTGAGGGGGAGAATTAGGTTGGGCCTTATTTGAGATATTATGTGCAGTTCTGAATGACCCATTATAGAAAGGACATCAGAAATGGGAAGAGGGTGCAGAGTATGTTCATACAGATAACAAGGGTGAGTGGGGTCATAGTAACAACAACTTGCATTTATATAGCGCATCTCACGCAGGGTATTGTCCTAGGGTGCTTTCACGTCTAGTAAGGACAGGCATGAAAATTTAGGCCTATTCTCACTGGAGCAGAGAAGATTAAGAGGGAATGTAATAGAGGTCTTCAAAATTCTAAAGGGGTTTGAGAGGATAAACAGAGAAAGATTTTTACCACTGGTTGTGCAATTGGTCAAAAGGGACAAGTTTATCATCCAAAGAAGTTCAGGGAGCGATTAGAACCCTTTTATTGGTGCAATGGGTTAGGGCGTGGAAAATGTTGCTACAAGTGGGTTTTTAAGCTAAAACCATAACAATTGAAAAGGAATGGGTTAAGAATTGGAAGGAACAATATAAAAGGATAGAGACAGAGAGGAGGGAATTGGGATTAGAGCACTGAATATAGCTCCAAAGGAAAATCTAACACCTGCCTCGATCTGCCTCCTATCCTGTATTGTTAGTGAGGCCATCATGAGAATGGCTTCACTAAGTGAGAAGAAGTTGGTTAAACGTGGGCCAAATACAGTGATCTGATCCATTTTCAAAATGTAAATGTGAAAGTGGAACAAGATGCTGTATCACTAACAAAGAGTTCAGTCTATAAATACAAATGGGAATGCTCAGGTTCAGCACTTCACAAATCTGCTTTCATTCTTCCAATTGCTCAAAGCTGCCCTAATACACGGTGGTTTATTGTTGAAACCACGCCTTGATACTATTAGTGTTAAGTGCTCAAGATCCTTTTCTTGTTCGGAAACTACATTATTTTAAGGGCTGCAAATTCTTTGTACGATTACTGCCACAGCCTTGAATAATTGGAATAATTTATCCTCAACACATCTGACAGATGTAAAAATTGCCTGAGTCACCCAAAATAATTTTGGGTGTCTATTGCTGAGTCCATGCTTGTGACTAAGCAATTGAAATGGATGGATTAAGAATTGGGAAATAATTGATTATTATTCATGTGTAAACTTGGACAGAGAGTGTGGGCGGGGTGGGGTGGGGGGGGCGTTGATTACTTCACTATAGAGACCAGCCAGAGTGTGGCCCTAGGTGTCCATCAGAGGCCACTGTATAATAATCAGAAACATGACCCAGGTGCACTCTTTCCCCCATCCCTTACTTGCCCCCCCCATAATGGAGAAACAGGGAGATAGCTTGTTCATGAGAAACGTTCTTGTGGTGACATTGTAAGGTTGAAACTAGGGCGATGTTGCAGTGATTAGCCTGGAGGGGAGAGAGAAGACCAATGCCAATGTAATAACACACAAGCTTTTCTGTCCACACAATCTCAGCTCAAATGTTGTTGGCTTTTCACACTTTGGGAAAAGTACAAGTCTTCCAGGAGTAGTTATGTTAACACCCAAGCTCGTACTCCAGTCGAGAGGATTCCTTTAGACTGAGGGGAATGAACTCGGGTGGTAACAGAACTACCCCTGTTAGTTCATCAGCAGAATAATCCAGTATGCTCCAGTGGAAGCTGTGCGATTTGCATTGGAAACTGGATTCCGTTTGACACAATTGAATTTGACTGCTACTGGTGAGGTACAGACAAGCCTTTAGGGTAGAGTGTGTTCTGCACTCTTGCAGTGACAGCTGTCAAATTTCATTGCCAATTCGTGAACGACTGCATTAGCAGCACCCTAGCGGATTCATGTTTTTAGTCTTGCATTTTGTGTGTGTAAGGGAGCAGGGGGTGAAAGGGGGGGTAAATGGATGCTTTTACATTTTGGTTTCTAATGAGTAGGCATGTATGTGAAGCGTTGTTTTCCTCTCTCCCCCACCCCCTCTGAATGCCACTGAGGTTTACTCCACGGAAGCTTGAGGCCCTCAGGACCTCATCCAAGTGTCCATTTATTATGTGCGAGTCTGGACAGCGCATGCAAGTCCAAGTGGAGGTCTATTCCATTGTAGAGCCTGTTCTGCAAATTCCATCATAGTCCACTTATAATGATCAGGAACACTGTCCCTTTGCACTTTTTTTCTCTCCCCACCGTTTGCTTGCATAAGCACTGAAGCCATTTATAGCATCTCATCGCCCCTCACTGCCACCATCACCCTATGTTGAACCTGTGACCATCTGATCTGCATGGATTACTGCCGTCCTGTTACAGGGCACTTGTTTACAACCCTCGTTTGTATATAAGGCAGATGTCCTGTGGACCTGCTGTTGATTTCTGGGTTATCGGTCACTACTGATGTCACTTCCTGCGTGTTGTATGCTGCGCGCAGGAAGCCACACTGACATCACTTGCGTTGGCTATAATTGATCCTGTGCTAAATTGGAGCACCTGAAAACTGGGTGGCCTATATTTCACATGTGAAATGGAGATTTCTCATGGGAAATGAAGATCAGCCTGCTGAATATGTGTCTTGCTAAATTGGAACAGATATTGAGGAATGAAGTGAGGATAACAGTGAGGATAAAATAACCTATATAGCTCAGTTATATTGAATGTATTGTGGCATATGTTTGTTTCATTCTGACTTTCACATCCTGCAAATCTAAGTGTAAGAGATGTGGATGAATATATTTTTGTTTTCCCATTTTAGAGGAAATCTCTCTTGGCTTTGGAGAAAGAAGATGAGGAAGAAAGAAATAAGACTATTGAGAGTTTGAAGACAGCACTAAGAACACAACCTATGAGGCAATCTATCTCTTTGTTCATTTTATGTCAACTGTCCCACCGAGAAGACACTCAGTTTCAGAGTTAGAGTCAACTGCAAACGGCTTTTGGGGCTTAAAATTGCTTTCTCAACTTCTTTTGTGCAATAGGATTTAAAAGGTTTTATGTAAGATTCTGATTTCATTTATTACAATCTGGTGAGTCTGCTTCATAAGGTGTGAAAAACGTATTAATCAGCATCTTCCTGTCAGCTCTGAAGATTTTTTTGTCTTGGTCAGCTTGGTGTCTGATACATGCGGAAACCCATCACCATTCTTAAGAGTTTCCAAACCCAACTGAGAGTTCCATGCATATCTCCTACATATGGAAGTTCCTGGAATGGAATGCAAACTCTCTCCCTGGAGGGATGCACCTGCTTACCTAATTCTACTGTATTGGGTGCAGGTTGGCAAGAGCCAAGGCTTGGGGACCACAGTGTGCACTGGTAATTGCTGGTGTCTAAGTAGCATAGATTGCTACTGAAAGCACTGTTTGGCAAGCTTCCCACTGCTTGTCCAGATAGGACCATCCGACCCGTTAGGACTTTTGCTTGCAGGGTTGCTTAGCCACCTAACAGACATATTGTGAGTTTTGTCAAATAGTGCAGTGAAGAAGTCACTTAAAATTGATTATATCACTCACCTCGGACGTACTTGAAATAGTCTCGGAACATACTTGCTTGATTGTTTCAAATGAGCAGGGAATTGCGATTAGATTAGAGTAGTTGATTCCATTGGAAAATCTAGCATCAGCTAGAATGATTTCCTGATGTGCTGTTCTTTCTCTGATGCCATGAATTATTCGACTCTCTTCTCATTAACTGCTGTTCATTCCACAGGTTTGTCACGAGATTCATTGACTTGGATGGGTTAACGTGCATTCTGAATTTTTTGACAAGTATGGACTATGAGACCTCAGAATCTCGAATACATACCTCTCTTATAGGCTGCATTAAAGCATTAATGAACAACTCTCAGGGCAGGGCTCACGTCTTGGCTCATGTCGAGAGCATCAACGTAATAGCTCAGAGTCTGACCACGGAAAACGTAAAGACTAAAGTTGCGGTATTGGAAATTTTGGGGGCCGTGTGTTTGGTGCCTGGGGGTCACAAGAAGGTTCTGGAAGCAATGCTGCACTATCAGAAATACGCGAGTGAAAGGACACGCTTCCAGGTATGGTGCACTCAGTCACAGCATTGTGCAAGTGTGAACAGTGTTGCCAAATGGCTTTAAACAAATGCAAAATTGAACTCCGTCCCACAGTCCCTTCGCCTCTCCCACTCTCTTGCCTCCTTCAAGGTTCGTCTCAAGATCTTCCTCTTTGAACGCACCTCCAGTCACCCTCCCTGCCCATCACCCCTCCTGATTCCAACCCCCAGCTCGAGCCAAATCCTTGACTGTCCAGGGTCTTGGTGCGTCCTCCCGACGTGAAAGGCGCTATACAAATGTAATTTGTTGTTGTTGTAACTCTTGGGCTGGGAGTATTGGCTTGTGGGTAAATATTGCTGCTGGGTGGGGACTATTCTGGAAAAGTTGCCCCACTTCACTTCTCAGCACTACTCTGACTTGAGCCTTCCTACACAACAACTTATTTTTGTATCCTTATTTTGATTAATTTGCCCCACTAATAAAACGCAAACAAAATAAAACTTGGCAGCCTTGCAACTCCCTTGGGTTCCTTGTCCTTGAAAACCTCAATCTATTTAATGCTGTCTCTTGCTTCTTTGTTGTCAAGTCTCTGATCCAATGAAAATAATTGCTTTCTACTTACCATTTTAACCTCTAGACTACCAACAGCCCCAGGGACAGAACTGTTTTTCAGGTTATGGGCTTCACTACCCTACCTGTGATGCAAAGACAAAGGCTAATGTTACAACAATGAACCTACACAAATGTCAGAATTAGCCTTAATACATTAATATTCCCCCGTAAGCCCCCAAATGCTGAACGATTTAAAATAATTCTTAAATCGTCTGGTTTCTTCTTGATGTCGGATCAAGAGTAACTACAGAAAAAAAATCTTAGGTTTTGAAAAGTGGTTTCAGATGAGAATAGAGTTAAAGTTGAAGGAGGAGAAAGGCTCAAGTGCCAACTACAGGGCAAAGCTATTACAATTCGGTCATCTGCGTCTAATATCTACATCAAGTTAAAAGGGAACGTGAAAAAATGGCCGACTTTCTACCTCCAACCTGTGGAACTCCATCCCGGAGTCCCTTTGCCTCGTCCGAAACTGTGCTACATCAATGCAAGTTGTTTTCGCTGTTCTTGCAATTTTCCGGACTGGTGACGCGCTGTCTTTGACACTTTTCTGTTTAATTACTATTTGGTCCTTTTTTTTCCCCCTCTTGTCAGACACTAGTCAATGACCTGGACAAAAGCACAGGACGATACAAAGATGAAGTGAACCTTAAAACTGCCGTGATGTCCTTTATTAACGCTGTCCTAAGTCAAGGGTCAGGAGAGGTAGGAAATCCATCAACAGTTCCACCATATGTTCCGCTTGAGATTGTATATATTTAGCCCCCAGAGGGAGGTTGTGTTACAGCTACATTTATCTTGTTTTATAGGAAAGTCTTGATTTCCGAGTACATCTCAGATACGAGTTTTTGATGTTAGGAATTCAACCTGTTATTGACAAATTACGTGAACATGAAAATGCAACTTTAGACCGGTGAGTAGAGATGGTGCACATCTGGTTTGATTTATTGAGGACCTTCTCAATGTGTCATTTTTATACCGAACCCTGTTTTTAATGGCTTTTTTTAGGCATTTAGATTTCTTTGAGATGCTGAGGAATGAGGATGAAGTGGAGCTGGCCAAGAGGTTTGATATGGTGAGTAGCTCAGCACCTACTCTGTGATTGCACCATCTCTGAATATAGAAAAAGGTTCCAAGTGCATTGTGTTATCTCACTGGGCATAGACCCTGCCTCCACGACATATTCTGACCCAACTGCTCTGGCTGATCCGTTTGCTTAACTAACACCGGCCTGCTTCATATCTCTACAGGGCTTTCAGCCGTTCTCCCCCACCCTCCCACTTCCTCTCTCTCTTTCTCTCTGGAACTGCATCTCAGACCCTCTGCCTTGCTCTCTCCCCACTGTCTTAAGACCCAACTTTCTGACGGCACTCAGTCACAGCTCCCCCCACCACCCGCCCTGACCGCATCCCCAGCACTTTTGAGATGTCTTCCAACCTGATCGGCACTATCTAGTTGTTGTTGGGTAATGTGCGTCTCTTACTCTAGGTCCATATTGACACGAGAAGTGCCACCCAGGTGTTTGAACTGGTCAGGAAGAAAATCAGCCACACCGAGGCCTACCCGCACTTTATGTCCGTCCTTCACCACTGTCTCCAGATGCCTTGTGAGTACAGTGCTCTTGCTTAGGCCCATGTTTGTTGACCTGAACTAGAAGATAAGAGCATCACATATCAGTCCAGATAGAGAATATCACTTGCAATTTTCGACATTAGATTTGAATTTGGTTTGACTCCTTTTTGGGGGGAAAAAAACCCAACAATGTTGGATTTCATGTATAACATCAGCAGTGGAGAGTCAGTTAGATGATACCAAGATGAAAGATTATGGTTGCGTGTAGAGCTGTGGAAAGCTAGGCTTTTCTTGCCAGCGGGTTGTGAGTGGGGAGGAGGGGAATCTAATGAAGGTTTTCAAACCCATGAATGATTTTGCTTATTTGAATCGAAGACTGTCAGACTGTGGATTTCCCAATGACACAGAACGCATCCACACGACTGGTGATGTACAGTTTTGGCGTAACCAGTCCATTTGGATTGTGGAGCAAGCTGAGAGTGCTGGTTATTTGCGCCTTCTCGACATCAGTTCACTTTAAACCTCGCGATTGTTGTTCTTCTATTCCAGATAAACGAAGTGGGAACACTGTCCAGTATTGGTTACTCTTGGACCGAATAGTGCAGCAGATAGTTTTACAGAACGATAAGGGGCAAGATCCCGACGTGGCCCCATTGGAAAACTTTGATGTGAAGAAAGTGGTTCGAATGTAAGACATGGGGCGTTTTTCTAATGATTAGCCACCCCACCCAAGAATAACACACACTTTTCTTATAACCTGAAACCCTATGTGAAGCACAGATTAAACCAACTTGTTTTATTTTTTTTAATTCAATAATAAACAGGTTGGTTAATGAAAACGAAGTCAAACGGTGGAAGGAGCAAGCGGAAAAAACGAGAAAAGGTGAGACCGCAGTTTTACTAGTTGCTGAAATTGATAGTGTTTCTAATTTTGCTGCACTTCTAAATAGCTGAGTATTTTCATGCTCTATTTAGTAAAGGGTTCATTCAGCAAGTCTGAGGAACTAATATGAAGCTGGAAGCGCTCTGGGCTCAATTTTGCGAGGTTTCTTAATGTGATTATCTAATTTCCGATTGGGCACTCCTGGCAACTGGAGGAGGGTCCAAGGCCAAGGGACCTTCACCCAAAACACATCCAGTTGACCAACATTCCTGCCACAAACTTAATCTCTGAATTAAGAAATCGCATTGAGAAACATCAAAAAAATCAATTAAAAAAACGAACAGTAATCGGGGGTTGATGTGAGAGTCCAGGCCTTGGCTGGCTGGTCCGAGATCTCACTGCTCAGTGTCTGGTTCACAGAACACACTGAGCTCCAGCAAAGCTGGAGAAGAAAGAACGCGAATGCGAGGCCAAGACCCAGGAGAAGGAGGAGATGATGCAGACGCTGAACAAGATGAAAGAAAAACTGGAAAAGGAAACTCAGGAGCACAAAGCAGCCAAGAAGCAATCGGCGGATCTGATGATCCAGATCCAGGATTTAAGCATTGTATGTATTCAGGGGATAGATGGGTGCATGTCATTAATTACCACATTCTCAGTTAATGCTTCAGTTCGTTTTAACGTCTTTCAAACGACTCGACTGTCATCAGGGAAGACATGCCATTATTTTGAATTCATTAAGCTTTTGTAAAAAAAACAAAAAAAGCGTTGCCGTTTTAAATGAAGCGCAGTCGTTTCCGCGTGATAATGGCGTGTTCTGTTTTTTTCGGACGATCGTTTAATAATCGCTGTCTGGTTTTTAACAAAAAAAAGAGTGTGTGTGTGTCTTTTGTGAATGGAATGGCACCGTCTTGTAAATAATGCCGTGTCCTTTACCAAACATCTTTCTCCTCTCTAGAGAGCAGCCTATTCCGGAGGTCCAGGCGGCCCGCCTCCCCCCCCAGGAGCCCCCGGCGGTCCCATTCCACCGCCCCCACTTCTCTCAGGAGGGATTCCTCCACCCCCTCTCCCTCCCCCTCTGTTTTGTGGTATCCCTCCCCCGCCTCCCCCGCCTGGCGGCCCCCCACCCCCTCCTGGCCCACCCCCCCTCGGGGGGATGCCCCCTCCTCCGGGAGGCCCCATGGGATCGGGGCAGAAAAGGAAAAATATCCCACAACCAGCAAATCCTGTCAAATCCTTCAACTGGGCCAAGTTACCTGAGGTTAGTGATAAAATGGTTACACACATCCCTGGAAGCAATCAATAATAATAATTATCCTTGCATTCGATATATATTATATATATATGTTATATTCAATATATGTATAGTCACATTGTTGAGATGCCTCAAAGCGCTTCACAGAATGTATTGTGAAGTGCATTGACTGTGTATTTTGTGGGCGAAATGCGGCGGCCGATTGCGCACAGCAGTGTTCCGCAAACAGTTGTGGATTGAGTGACCAAATTATAATTTTGGGGGGATAACAATGATTAGATAACATTTGGGTTTGTGCTCTTTAGGAGCTGGTGTTGAGCTATTTGATTGCTGTTGACTGTAATTCAGTCCCTTTTCTTACTTCTGTTTTAACAAAGTAGAAGTAACTGTCGCTTTCAGTAATCTATTGACAATTTTCCCAATATTGTATTGTCAGGTGTGCAGTGGCAGAATTCTGGCTGTACCAACAGATTTGGAATCAGCTGCACGTTAAAAAGCTGTGTTCAGTTCATCTGCTCAGTTTCAGCGGCTTTGAACGTAAATATGTAATAATTCTAGCATTTGTTATAGCGTCTTTCACGTTGGGAGGACGTCTGAAAGTGTTTATGTAGATTTACACAGAATATCTTACACTGGTCTTATACTTACATCTTATACAGACTCCCCAGCATGGGGGAACAGCCTATTCATGCTAACCTTATCGAATCCTTTTATAATTCACTGCAAAGTGTAGTGTCAAAACTGCGTATTTGTTTAATGTGTGCTTTACACAGCATGATAGTGAACCTCTTCTTGTTTTTACAGAACAAACTCGTGGAGACAATCTGGGAAGAAATTGACGACACCAAGGTTTTTAAAGTGCTCGACTTGGAGGAGATTGAGAAGACGTTCTCTGCTTACCAAAGGCAGCAGGTAACAGAAATTGGAGAATAAATTGAAAAAACCGGCAGCTCACGGGCAGCTCGCTCAGCATCTAGAAGAGGGAGCCGGGTTGATATTTTACATGTCCAATACATTTTAAGTTTCCCCTGCTGTGACTTGTATGGAGTTCCCCATTATGATGCTTCTCCGCACAGATTGAATTTCTGAGTGAGAGGTCCAGTGTGAGTTTCCACTAAGCACGATAGTTCAGAAGTGACGGTCATGTTATTGTGTGTATTCGTAGATGTGGCCATTGTGCAGTACATTTTCAGTTTGCTAAATATCATAACAGCGTTATGTAACTCTGCCAACGCTGAGGGTAAAGTCGACAGATCAGTGCACTCGCTTAATTCACTTATTGTAGTCCTGCGTTTGAGCTATTTTCTTTCGCTTTGGATTTGAAAACAAAACCAACTGATTTTGCTTGAATTACTTGTTTAAAAAATAAATCACACAATGCATCGATGCTGCGGAAATTTGAAATGGCTTTTTTTAATGTTAAAACCCATGATTTGCATGTCTTTGCCTGTTGCATCATTTACTGTAATATGGTCACTACTCGATTGTTCAGATATCTAAATTCTTTAACCCCTTCACCAGCACAAACTGTTTACAAGGCTCAGGGCAGCATTGGTTTGAGTTTCAGATTTGCATTTCTCTGTTCCCTTCCCTTAACGTCACTTCCTGGGTCACTCAATTGGTTAGCACCAGACTTGGAATCAGGAATATTATGAGTTTGCATCCCATTCTGTCCTTCACCCTTTCCACATTAGTGGAACATGCACCATGTCTCTTATGGGGTTGAGCAGGCTCTGAAGACAAGTTAGGGCTCTTTAGCCTTGAAAGAAGATATCTTGGACCAGACCTCATAGAGGTGTATAACATTTTCAATGAGATTGGAAAAGTAACCCAAACCAATACTGTAGAATGCATCAAGACAGTAGAACAAGAGTTGCAAAGGGCAATCACAGGACAGACACCAGGATTTTTTTCTTTATCTTAAGGCAAGGGTGGTTGAGGGCAGAACATTGGACTCATTTAAAAGACGGCTTGATGCTGTAATGGGTTTTCTGAAGGATGAAATCAGACGGGCCAAAGGGTCTTCTTCATCCATAGCAAAATTACCTTGTGATACAACTACCCAAATCAGGCATTTCTCAGTAAACCAAGGCAAATGCAGTACTTGACCGGTTGCCTGGATCCTCGGTGAGGTTAAAAGGAATAGACATGTCTCTATGTGACCATAAACCAAAGCTTCAACAAGCAGGGTATCCATGACCATACTGCATGCTACCCAATGTACTAACACCATTAAAATTGTACATCAGTTTGCGGTTGAAAGCATTTTGATTTTATGTAATCCATTGAAAAATAAGATCTTTAAACTGCTCACCTAAATACAAAAATAAATGGATTCTAAACTAAACTTGACTGCAACTGAGAGAGAAATGCAACATTCGACCACGGTACTCCCAAGAGTTAAACCCTCTCTAAAATGTATGCCACACCTTGGCTTCTGAGTCACTGACCTGGTGAATGGGTTAACGTTTGCAGATGACATTCTCGCTAGTTACTCCTGCATGTCCAATTGCATTTTCTTTTTGATGATGCCTTGCCTGTATAATCGTGCTCTGTTTGCCATTTTATTTTCCTTCTTGCAACGATTGCTGAACTGCAGTTTTTATTGCTATTAACTGTTGCTACCGTTATCCTCCTTGCCTTCGGCCTGCGTTTAGGACTTCTTTCTGAACAATCATACCAAGCAGGTAAGCTTGTGCTTAGTTTTGATGAACTGGAGGTAAAGTGCAAGGGAAGGTTATTAATAAACACATGTTCTTATGCCAATGTGTCAACATAGTTTAGGTGTCAGCCTGCCTAAGTCGGTAGCACTCTTGCCTCTGAGTTAGAAGGTTGTGGGTTTAAGCACCACCTTGGGACTTTGAGCTCACAGTCAAGGGTGACACAGTAATGTAGCACTGAAGGAAATGCAGTCCTTCATATAAGATATGCCAGACAGGTGGACGTTAAAGATCCCACTATTCAAAAACAGCTGGGAGTTTATCCTATTGTCATGGCCAACAATCCTTCATGGCTGTGCATGGGACATTGCTATGTGCCATTCGACTGCCAAGTTCGCCTCTAAATACAGTCTTCGCACTTTACAAAACCTTTGCGAAGTTCTTTGAGATATTCTCGACATCGTAGGTATAATCAAACACAAGGCCTGTTATAATTTTGTTAGTGTGTTTAATAGTAGTCAAGATGTCCAATGTTGGATTAACAAATAATCAATTATCGGCTTGTATGGATGCAAATGGGACAGAGGANTTTTTGTTCTCATTGAAAATGTATGGCAAAGAGGAGGTCATTTGACCAACAGTGTCTCTGTTGGTACTAGCTCCCTGCTGGATCTACTTTAATCCCATTGCCCTGCTCATTCCAATACCAGTACCAGTCTTTATCAAATTCCCTTTTAAATGCAGTTACAGACCCCAACGCCCTTCAACAGCAAACTGTGGTAAGATATTCCACATTCTCTGTGTTACAAAACAATCATAATTCTTCTGAATCCCTCTTTATTCTCCCATCTCAAATTAAACCATGAAAATGAAGTGCAATCTTTCAAGTAATTTTGTTTGAGATGAATTGCAAATTACTTTATCCAACGGTGGCATAAAAAAATGGCATATAGCACATACTCGTTTTATTTCTTTAGAACTAACTAAAGGGGGGAGGGTGGAGCTTTATTTTGCTTAATTTCTAAATTCGACCCTTGAAATTTGAATGCCTAATGCATGAACATCTGTATGATGCTGAATGTAAAGCTTTGGCTGAATGCCCATTCATCATAAATATCAATAACAACCAGCCTTTAACAGCAACAACCAATTGAATTTATATAGCACTTTTCACACATTTAAGTCCCCTTTTAGTGAAATATTAAGGGCGTTAAACTTGGTGTCATATTCAGGGTTTTAACCTGGTTTGTAAAGAAAATTGGATTGCGGCCCCTGCAATACTTCAATGTCAGTTTTGCAATACAAATTTATATTTACATGGTGCGTTTCACACTGAGAGGACATCCCAAGGCACTTAACAGCCCTGGCTCAGCAGGACAATTTTAGGCATTACTGCTGCTTTTGTTGCCCAGGTTTGGATTGTACAGAAAAAGCTATGAGCAGCAGATAAAACGTCTGGAGTGATTCATGTGCCTACGTAGTATTTTGAGCAAAAAGGAAGCTTAATAATAATAATGATAATAACAATCTCACTTTCTATTCCAGTTTAGATTTGGGTGTACTTTGCATTGACAGTCCCCACGTTCCCTCTGCCAGCTTACATTTGTCGTTGTTAATTTCAAGTTTCAGAATTTTGGCAAATAAACCAAAGAGTTTTGAGAATTTGTTTTTTATGGTTAAAAAATTAACATTAATTGTAGTCACTTACGTGAATCCTTTAGCCATAATGGTGCTGAGGGTGAGGTGTGCAAACACTAAATGTCCTGGTTGATGCTCAGTTGTGTCTTGTATTCATAAGTCTTTTATAGTCTGGTTCATTATTTTTAACCCTTTTGAACGTTCACCTGTTGAGTACGTTATTGAAAATCTAAATGCCCTTGAGGTTGAATTGAATAATGTTTGAACGTTTCTTTAATAGTTTTGCATATAAAGCCCTTCGCAGTGTTGTAAGTTATGGGTGAGGGAGCAGTAATTGGGACAAATAATCCTCAGATACCCAGAAGCTTTTTTCAGTTGTGCTTTTTCATCTTTCAGAACATCATGTTGTGACTTTCAACTGAGGGTTAAGGGAATATAGAAATAGCAAGCTGGCCGCAAATGGTTTAAAAGCTGTTTTTTATCGCAGAATTACAGAATCGTAAATTATTAAATTGATGTCTGTCACTAATACTGGTTCCAGGTTCCACTGTCAGTCACAAACCACATCTCAGTGTATTACTAGGTTTGCTGCTTGTTGCCTTCATTGATCTGGCAATCTCTTGCGTGTGGGTGCATTTCAGTAATTAAACACTATTATCGGACGGCATGCTGGAGCTCTTTACTGGAATAGACTCCAGTGATTTGTGGGTTGTTTTTCTGGCAAAAAGTGAATAGCGCTTCCAGAGCTAAAGTAATTAAAATCATACTTGAGAGAGAGTCCCACGGAAATCTCATGCTGCTAATAGAGAGATTTCTTTTTAACGTGTCTGCATTTCTCTGTTAGGCTGTGCAGAGCCTAGTAATCTGGCGCTTGCACTTTTCCGATATGGATTTGCCTTGTTTAACCGCTGGTCCCCTGTCGCTCTATTTATGTCGCAGAAAGAGACGGAAGCAAATGAAGACACATTAAATTCCACCAAAAAGGTCAAGGAGCTATCCGTAATCGATGGAAGAAGAGCCCAGAATTGCAATATTCTTCTCTCAAGGTAAATACTCGATGTTAAATGTTCAAATGTTGAATATATTCCTGTCTCTTTCCCCCCCCCCCCCTCCCCTGCTCCTCCTTGGGTCGATGAGAGTTAACTGGCAACTGAACTTGTGATCTTTTGATTTGTACAGCCTCGTACTTCACTTCCGTTACACACAACGCCATCAATAGTAATAATAATCCTTGCATTTGATATGGTGTCTTATCACATCATTGATGTCTGGTAGAGTTTCATAGAATATATAGTAAAGTGGATTAATTGTGTATTTTGAGGGTGAAACTGAGCTTTACGCATCACTGGAGTTTTTTGCTTTAGGGCCTTTGTTTTTAGAGGATTATATGTAAATTAATAATAATAATCCTTTCATTTGATACAGAGCCTTATCGCGCTTCAGTGCCCCTCACTGCGAAGTGTAATGATAGATAATTTTGTAGGCAAACGTGGCAGCTAATTTGTGTGCAGCAATGTGCCATAAGCAGCCATGAACCTGCAGTGATATTGAGTCCATGTCTTGTCTGAAGGGAGTTAATCTTTGTATCATGTGCTGGAATGAATGACGGTATCCTGACAGACTCTTGGAACTGTATATCTTGTGCCTCTGACACAAGCATTGGTTTCAGTGATACAAAAACTGCTACAATCTTAAGAATTCATCAAATATGAATATGAATTTATGTTGAATATAAGACATCACCCCTTCCCCACTACCACCACAAAGCAATTGACTGAGCTTCTAAAGCTTCACAGTGTAAAAAACCTTTATATCAATTACGAGCTTTAAGACATTTTGGCATTACAGACACTATATTAAACACAACGAATATTAGACTATTGTGTTCATCCACAAAAACAGCCATTCCACTTTACAATATATATCTCCTGTGCAGTGTTATGAGATGCCTTCCTGACGTGAAAGGCACTGTACCAAATGCAGGGATGATGATTATTGTTAATAATAATATTAATAATAATTGATGCTCTGCAGGCTATGAACTTCTGGTCCAGTGTTGCTCTTTTTTCCTGAAACCTCCCGCTTAAATGGAAGTTGGTAATAAATCATACACAGAATGATGTTTATATTCTTTCTGTGAGTCTATTTTGCATTATTGCAGGATGTAACTGATTTGCTTTCCAAAGCCTGAAATGTTTGTTTTCTTTGGGGGGAAAAATGTCTTAAACGAAAGTGTAACCACTCCAGGTCACGTGGGTTTCTCTTTCAATGCTCTCTTTTTAGATTATTTTCTGTGCTGTAATGCTTTGGCCCCCAAAGTACAGCCTTGTGAAGGTCATGGTCACGAGCTGGGGCTATGTAGGTCAGGCAGACAAATGCATTCACTATCTGCAGCTGCTCTTACGTTATGCTGTTTGTCAGAGCATGTCACAAGGCTCAGAGTCGATCCTTGTCTGGGAATGTCAATATTAAAAGGCCTTTTGTAATGTTCTTTCTCTTTTGACTGTCCGGAGAGCATGAAGCAGAACCCTGTTAGCCCCAGAAGGCTGTAGAGGCAAAATCAACTGGGATGTTTAAACTGGCTATTAAAAGGTATGGAGAAAAGGCAGGGAAATGAGATTAAAATATCTGCCATGATCTAATAAACTGGTGCAGGCTGAATGGTCTCCTCTTCTTCTGTTCCTATTGCACTTGCTGTCTAGTTATGGGAACATAGGAACAAATGAATAGGCCATTCAACCCCTCGAGCCTGTTCTGCCATTCTGTTAGATCATGGCTGATTTGTACCTCAACTCCAAATACCCGCCTTTGCCCCATATCCCTTGATAGACTTACCTAACAATAATCTATCCATTATTACAGCAATAACTGAGAGCAATAACTAACTTGCTGTGCGCAATTGGCTGCCGCGTTTCGCCCACAAATATACAGTCAATTCACTTTACAGTATATTCTGTGAAGCGCTTTGGGACGTCCTCCCGACGTGAAAAGCGCTATATCAAATGCAAGGATTATTATTATTATTATTATTATTATTATAACTGTGCATGTACTTTAGCCGACACTTTGTTCTTGATCAGGATAAGGGGGCATTAAGACACTAAAAGAACAGCTTCACAAAATACAGTGACTTCACTGTAAATCCTATGAAGCACTTTGGGACGTCCTCTCGACATGAAAGGCAATATATCAAATACAAGGATTATTATTATTATAGCTTGCACTTGTATGTATGCAGCTGGATGTCTCGTAGTGCTGTACATGGATAGTGAGGCTGCCTGTGCAGAAACAGGTGGAGATGTTTTTGCCTCTGACCAGCCAGGGGTCACACTTCTCATCTGTTTGCTGGCATTTTTTATTCCACGGCAGAGGTGCGTACACTCTGAAGGCTGGAGCAAGGACCGCCTACTTTGGTGGTACTAGTTATAGGAACATAGAAACTAAACTAAATAAAATGTGGGAGTTTCATTTTATTTAAATACTGATGACATCAGGGAGTTGGCTTCAAGGAGTTGATGTGGCAGAGCGTGTGAAGGGAAAAATAATCAAATCTACACAGCGGAAGTAAGCCGATGGCTGAAGCACTTGTGTTAATGACTGTCTGCTCGAGTTAGTTCAGCTGTCAGTCTCAGTAACTCCCTCCTCAGTCCAGCAGCGGAACTCGCCACTGAGAGACACAAATATTCCAAATAATAAGGAACTCGCCACCAAAAAAGTCACTGAGGGCAGAGATTTCCCACTGGCTCAAGGAGTAGAAATGGAGGCGGGGTTTATTGATCTGGGTGGGGGGGAGAGGGTTGAGGATGGACAGCTTTTGGAGCCGAGCAAGCTCCTGGCTGGGTGATGGGTTTACCAGTTGTTGTGGGGACTGAGGGTTTGGTGGGGGCGGTGGAGAGAGCAACCGAGAGAATTAGTGCGAGTTCTCGGTGATTGCTCACCCATTTCTGTGACCAGATTCAACAGCAAGTGCCCTCTTATCTTTTGTCGCTGAATACCTGCACGTTGACCTTCCTAAGTACGTGAGACTCTATTGCTGGTGACTTGAGAGGCAGCTCCATTAGAACCAGTTCATTAAGAGTACATAAACTAAATACAGTATAAAACACTCAGGGCATGTTGTGAACAGGTGTGTTGTAGCAAAACCAGCTGGATGTGAGAGGTGGGGTGAGGGGCTGCTTTGCCTTTGCGATCTTTTCATAATTCTTGAATTCTGCATCTCTTCTTCCAGGTTAAAGTTGTCCAATGAGGAGATAAAACGCGCCATTTTAACAATGGATGAGCAGGAGGATCTGCCCAAGGACATGCTTGAACAGGTATATTGTACATTGAACTATGTATATTTTGTGGGCGAAACACAGCAGCCAATTGCGCACAGCAGTGTCTCACAAACAGTCATGGATTGAAACAGCAGGACAAGAAGACACAGGTTGGGAGTTGGAAAGAGCAATTTCAGGGCTGACACTAGGAAGAGTTTCTTTACTGGATGGTAATTAATTACTGGAACAGGTTGCCAGGAAGGGTGGTTAAAGGAAAGGACGATTGGACTCATTTAAATACAAAAACACACTGCGATGGGAGGTGGTCAGTGTGGCTATTCTGGAATGGTGAGATCAGATGGGCAGAAGAACCTTCTTCATCCAAGCCAATCTTGGGATTTTAAGAGATCTTTTAATCCCAAAGCAACCCTTTCACCAAACCTCTTCATGCTCTCTGCTACCCAATTTGTAACCTGCGAACTGAAACTTATCCTCTGTTTCCCTGTCCACGTTTGACACGTGTAACACGGACCAGGGTGACAGGAGCTGGACTGCCGCTTTGCAGTAATCTCCTGCACCTTTCATTTGCTTCTCCTTTCATCATGTCTGCTCCTTGTACCACATCTGACTGCATTACTGACCCAGCTGGTTGCACTTTAAACGTTGAACAAAATAAACTGGTTCTTTCAAGATCACACGAATCAAGAGGTTAGGTGCGGTGTATGGTGGTGGGGGGGGAGCTTCATAATGTAGACCAGATAGACGAAGATCCTCAGTCTTTTCAATGAACAAAAGCAAGTTAGTGCATGTGCCACGCATCTGCAATACATTTCAAAGTGTTAGCCAAAGACAATTGTTACTACCTACCTGGCATCAGGAAAGCAAACCTTGTGGAACACAGAGAATTTCTCAGCTATCTCAATCTTGAGGGTAACCTGGCTGAACTCAGAAAATGTCAAAGCACTTCACTTCATGGATGTTTGCGGGCCATTGCTGTGCGCGAACTGGCCTCCACGTTTGCCTGCATGAAAAAACACACAGTCACAGCCCTTGATAGCACAATACATCCTGTGAAGCACTTTGAGATATCTCTATGATGTGATGAGGGGTTATATCAAATGCAATTATTATTATTATAAGATTTGGCTATCTCAGGGTTTTCTCTTCTGCTGTGGCCAACTAGTCGCAGTTGTCCTTGGCTGACACTTCGGAATGAATTCCAAACCCTCGGAGCTGAGGGGTAGGGTAGGCTAGGCTAGTATTTCTTTGTTAAAAAAATTAATCTAGTAAGAAAGGCATTGAAATGCTCATTGTGTTTCTATGAAAAGCTTCAGTTAATTTCAGTGGCAGTGAAGAAATGTTACTTTGAAACATTAACCTCTGGACTGGAACAGATCATCAAATAAACTTTTATTGGACGGCTTCTCCCATGTTGTGTTTGCGTGTGCAAACTGGGAATACTTTTGCTATTCTCAGCCGAGTTACTAGAATCACATCAGTCGAACGCAGTAATTTAAATTGTTGTTATCTTTTATAAATTTCTCTCTGACTCATTCACGCTGTAAATGGATTCCAAATTGGCACTAGGGTAAGAGAAGAGGCAGGGAAGTGTTGTACTTAGCAATGTAGATTTACAACGCTGCCGCAGATATAAAAGAAACACAAATGCATTTTGCGACTCCTGCAAACATCATTGATCTGGAAACGGTGAGCAGGACGGAAAGGCATTCAGCTGTCTGTTCAACCTCTCTCCCTGGCAGATTGTTTTATTGTTCAACATCATCATCAACAACTTTTATATAGTGTTTATATATTTACATTTATATAGCGCCCCTCACGTAGGATAGCATCCCAGAGCACTTGACAGTGCATGAAACCGAGCCAGAGGGAGGGGGGAGGGGACTGTAAGGGTCAAAAAAGCATTCAGCCGTCTGAATGACAGGATAAGACGTGATATCAAATGCAAAGATTATTATTATTATTGGGCGGAGGACTCCCAAAGATAAAAGAAAACTCGCTTACAATTTAACCTTTCACATGCAGAAGGTTTTCAGCATTTCTCAAGTGTTAAGGTGAAGAAAAAAACTAATAAATCTGCGTTACGTGCCAGAGGTTGCTGAGTCCTCTGGATAAATGAACCGAACTGGAGATTTTAAGGTTCTGCTCAATGGTGCACGATTTTCCTTTTCAGCTCTTGAAATTTGTTCCTGAGAAAAGTGATGTTGATCTGCTGTCGGAGCATAAACACGAGATCGACCGCATGGCGAAAGCAGATCGTTTTTTGTATGAAATGAGCAGGTACGTAGCCAGGCCTATGCCTGTCGTGGCCCTGCGAATCTGTCGGCAAAGTAGGTTTACAGTAACTGGATTGTTAACTGGAGCTTCTCCACCACCTCTCAATTCCTTGCGCTGTGTAAGGGTTTGTGTGATCTAATAACATGTCAGATCCCCAGTGAGGCTGAGTTCCTGATGTCACCCCAAAATGACTGGCGTTATGGTTGCTCTTAGCATCCTGGGTTTAGGGAGGGAAAATCTGCCTGTATTCCTGCTCTTGATGGATTATTTACGTACGTGTGTGTGTGTGTGTGTGTGTGTGTGTGTATCTTTCTCTCGCTTTATTTTGTACGTGTGTCTCTATCTGATTTTGTGTGCCACTCGTGCTGTATCTCCAACTGAGACCATCTCTCTCTCGGTCTCTAATCTTGTACTAGTCTCTCGCTGTCCACTTCATTTACATTCACAATCCTGGATACTAGCGTGCACGTAAAACATTCCCAACATCACAGCCTGACATGACTTCCGCATTCAGATAAGTGATGGATATACAACTTTCCATTTTAACTTTTTTTTTGCTGTAGCACACTGCGTTAACAGGAAAAAAAAAATCCTCACTGCTGTAGCTTTTCAATCTTACCCCCATTCACTCTTTTGAATCAGGAAGCACCAGGTTGGTTTACATCGAGTTTTACTTTCTACACAAAGTGGAGAAGTGTTCCTGACTAACTGATGTCCGTTTTCCAACCCAGTGAACAACAGGATAACACACCCGCTTTGTTAAAGTGTTCATAGGTGGAAAGTAAATCTGTTCACTTTGGAACGTTTTTTTTCTTTAGCCGTGGTAGGAAGGAACTCCTGTTTGAACAGAATTGCCGACCCCCAGCATCCATTTACCTTAAAACTATCTAAATCACTTTTTTTTAAAACAAAACAGAATTCCTCACTACCAGCAGAGGCTGCAGTCCCTGTACTTCAAGAAGAAATTTGCTGAAAGGGTAGCTGAAGTTAAACCCAAGATCGAAGGTACGACTTCCGCTCTTGTATTTAGGAACCCTGTCGGACTGTGTGTGTGTTTTTTAGCCTGACTCATTGTCCTTAGAAGCATTCCCTGTCCCCTTAAGAATTTGGGGAAGAAATTTGTGGTAATATTTCCTGCTGTTCACCTTCAACCAAGGTCCCGTTTGCCTGTTCAGGTGGACATTAAAGATCCCATGGCACTGCTCAGAAGGAGAAATGAGTTTCGCCAACAAATCCCACAAACAAAACTGGTCATTCACTTCATGGCTGTTTTCTGGGACGTTGCTGTGTGCAAATTGGCTGACATTGTTTGTATAAAAGCACAGAGTTGCTACACTTTACAGTAAAATCCTGTGAAGTGTTTTGAGATGTCTCAGCGACATGATAAAGTGCTATATCAAATGGAATGACAACTCTTACTGACATGTAATGAGGATTGTGCAAATTATGTTTCCTACAATTTCTGTACCGCTTTCCTGTTTAAGACCCTTTTAGTCGCCGTTAGAAGTATGTTAATAGGCAGTTGTTCTTGTTCTTGTTGCAGCCATTCATCTGAGCTCCAAGGAGGTTCTGCAAAGCAAAATCCTAAAGCAGCTGCTGGAGGTGGTCTTGGCTTTTGGCAACTACATGAACAAGGGACAACGAGGCAATGCCTGTGGTTTCAAGCTCTCCAGTCTCAACAAAATTGCAGACACGAAGTCAAGCATCGACAAGTAAGGCATTGCTGCCACTATCCCTGAATATACTGGAAAGACCATTGGAGTCCATCCAGTATCGGAGGTTAACATTTGGAGGAAATTTAAGTTCAGGATCGGGTTGTTTATATTGGTTTTGATGACTCTCGGTCTAGGTTTATACAGCTGAGTCTGTAACTCGGGCACAGATTCAAAGGAATTGTCATTAGCATTCCACGTCTTTGAACTCTGTGTAAAATTCCCCCTCCCCTTTGCTCCCTTGCTAACTATCTTAAATTGATGCCCTCCGGTCCCTGACTCAGTGACCAGTGAGTGGAAACAATTTCTCCCTGTTGACTTTGTCAAAACCTTGTATAACTTTAAAGACCTCTACCAGTTTCACCCCAACCTCCCTCTGTTCAAGTGAAAATAAGCCCAGTTCATCCAGTCAAACCACTCACCGAATCTCTTCTGCATCCTCTCTATGGCTCTGTCATCCTTCCTAAAGTGCAATGAACAAAACTAGACCCAGGGCTCCCAATTGTGGTCAAACTAAGGATCTATACAGATTAAGCATCACCTCTTATATTTTATATTCTTTGTCCTCGTTTATAAAAACCTAAGTTATTGTCCTGGAAGAGTCTTGCATAGATGCAGCATTTAATGCCACCTATTAGTCCGTCTGGGTTACAATTGGAACTTTTTCCTTGAGTCACTTATAATTACAGTCCCTGAACATCAAAGTTAAATCCTGACATGAGCAGAGGTTCCCTCAAGTTTCCCAAGTTATTGCTCAAGCTTTCCCACCATCCCCAAATGTTAACCTCAGCGTAACAGGCACTCCTTATCTGCAAATATATTTCTGATTATGCGCGTGGGGAAATGCTTGTAATGTGAAGCTTCGTGACTTTAAGGAGTTTGAAAGCCTAATGTGTTTCAAGCTTTTCATGTCGATTTTATTAATGCCCACACACAACACGATCATGCAGTTCAGCAAACCTGCCCCTACTCTAACTGAGATCAGATGTCTGCCCTTTGCCCTCCTTCAATAATTGGCTCTCATTCTCGTAATCTTAGTGGTGAATACATGGACCAATGCTGGCAGCCTGGACTGAATTAGTGTTGCAGTACCTTACGTTGTTGGTGCAAGTTGTGCCAGAACTGAGTACAGCTCACTTAATGAAATGTTCATCGCACATCGACACATGGAAGCATGGATTCCTGGCAGGGTGAAACCTTGGGCAAGTTTCCTTACTCCACATGCCTGATAATAATCCCTCAAGAAAAAAAATAATGAGTTGGTCACTGCAATCCATGACTGTTTGTGGGACACTACTGTGCGCAATTGGCTGCTGCGTTTCGTCCACAAATATAAAGTCAATTCACTTTACAGTATATTCTGTGAAGTGCTTTGAAATGTCTTGAAGACATAATAAGGCGCTATATCAAATGCAAGGATTATTATTATTATTAAGCAGATTCTAACAGAGAGCAGTGGTGTTATTTGTTTTCATTTTACCTCCATAGAAAATTGGCCAGGATTAGTTGGCCATTTTTAGCTGGTCTTTGAGCATGTGTAGATGCTAAACAGTTGCTTGTGAATCCCGTGCGTGTTGTGGGTCAGGATTCTCTGTGCTCCGTATATCTTTCTCAGCTGCAAAACCACTTCACGATTTTCCTTCTGGTTCCCAGGAACATTACCCTTTTGCACTATTTGATTACAATCCTGGAGAAGAAATATCCCAAAGTGGTGAACATTCATGAAGACTTGCAGAGCATCCCCCAAGCTGCCAAAGTGAAGTAAGTCTTTGTGAGAAACCTATTAGTTTCAAAGGGGTGTTTTTTTTTAAAAAAAAAGAGCAAACACTGAGACCAACGGGGGCTTTTGAGGTTGTAACGTATATTGAGCATCGAGTGAGCCCTGTGACATTCTTTGTAGGTGCTAAGAAGGTTTGCTCCTCACATCCGAGGTCTAACCAAGACTTTTTTTTAATCTTCCTTATATAGTCCCTGTCTCTCGCCCGGCACCCGTCCACGAGTCTTGCCCAACAATGCTGAAACCTTCTTTCGGGAAGTTGCCATTTCTAGACTTTTCAACTGCTCTCGACGATGGCCTCCCCAGCTCTTACAATCCACAAACTCCACCTCATCCAAAATTCCACATCCTGCACAATTCTTGCTCACACATAGCTTCCCATCCTCCCCAGGCTCCTTGTCGTTTTCTGGATAGACTTTAAGGTCCTCACTCTGGACAGATTTGATTCCATCAGAAATGAAAGATGAGAGCGAGTGGACGTTGTAGTGTTGGGATGTGAGCGAGGGGCCTGGGTCGCTTGATGGAGGAGGGAATGAGAGCATTGTGGCGGTGTGCTCTTGGACATTGGCTATTCTTTCGTGGGCTTTGATTTTAAAAGTTAAACTCTCTGGATATCCTTCAATTGACTTGTTTTGTTTTTCAGTATGACTGAACTGGAGAAGGAGGTCAACAACCTGCGAAGTGGTCTGAAGGCAGTGGAAAATGTAAGCGATCCCTCTGGTTCCTTACCCCCACCCCCACACCACCACCACCACGAGGCAGCAATTGTTTTACGGCCCTTGGTAGAATTCTTCTCATTAAATGTCCAAAGGAAGCCATGGGTGGGAAGCGTTGTCAGTGATTAGTGTTATCCGGTTTCCCCTTCACAACAGACTTTGATTTCCTTCCTAAGGAGCACGTGTGGCCTTTTTCCTTTCCACATTGTGCATCTATGAACCTTTTGAGCGTTCTGGTTTCTCTGCTCGTGTTAAGGGCCGCACCTCCTCCTGCAATCCCAATCCGCTCGCGGTATCGCTGGCTCAGCCGGCGCTCGCACTCTGGTACGGGAAGGAATTCGCCCAACAGAGAGATTAGGAAGCTCATGGGGAGCTCCTGTCTTTCTCTAGCACAATGAGACAGACTTGTACACGTACGAATGTTGGATAGTAACACTGATCATTGCGCTCGCTCACAAACGTCAGCAAGAAACAGACAGTAAACCCAGGACCATTACTGTTACTGTGAAAGGCTGAAGTGGCGGTGGAGAATTTATACTGTGGGAGTTGTGTATTGTGAGCAGCCAGCATTTTAGTCACAGGAAGCATATTGTCCAGCTCCGGTTTGCTGGTTGCTTTGTGTGTGTGTGTTTTTTTACTTCGCCTTCGGGCTCACTTCTATTGTTGCAGACTTTTTAAAGGGGTAAAAGTCCGACCTTTTTTTTTCTTCCTCCCCCTCTTCACCTCACCCCACCCATCCAAGCTACACTTGGGGGAATATTTGAGAGCGACGCGATCTTGCACAACCTGTGGGGGTGGGTGGGGGTGGGGGGGTGAGTGGTAGCTCAGTCAACTGAGTTTACTGCATGTTTCATAATGCTTTTTTATTGATTGAACAACACACACAATTTTTCAAATTAAAAAAAATCAAGCAGAAATAATAATTGCACGGCACGCAATCCCCACCACCCCCAACTTTTGGGGAAATGCATCCTGCCTTACGATGACTTTTTTGACACCGGTGGGTGCCTCTGTGTGACACTCATCCTGAATTCTACAGCGCTGAGTTACTCTTAAGGGCAAACAAAGATCACTCACCTGGAATAACTTCCCAACTCTTTCACCCAATTTCCTGACTCTTTTACCCAATCGTGCTTTCAAGTAAGATCTGGAAAGGACTTGCTGTTTGGACAGGGCAGTGGAGTGTGAAACAATGCTGCCTCTTCCCCATGTGAATGGGATTTCACAAAAATTCTGTTTCAGATTTTGTGCATTATTATTTTTTTCCTAATGGATGTGGTGTGGTGGTTGGTGTGCGTGGTATTGCCAGCAGGATTTGAGAGGGAGAAACACTCTCTTGTGTTGTATATCAACAGCGCAAGGTTTGATGGTGTATATAGCCCTCCCTGAGGTAATTCTGCTGTGTTATGATGTGGGCACTTCCACAATAATAGGACAAATCGTGACCAACAGCAGCATCTGACCCGCCCTGCCCTATCTGGCCTGTGCTAATGTCGCGCACCCAATCCCCAGACTGGGAATATTAGTTAGTGATAAGGCTTTGTTAGTTCGTGACTTTCTCCCTGATTGTGAAGCTCTGTGGGGAGTTGGGAGAAGATCCCTGAAAGGTGTAAAGGCCGCTGTGGTTCACTGGTCTGAGCGGAGCAGGGTGTTGGGAAGGCTGACGCCATCTCCCTTTTGTTTCCATAGGAGCTGGTATACCAGAAGACCCAAGTGCTGCAGCCGGGTGATAAGTTTGTCTCCGTTGTCAGTCAGTTCATCACTCTGGCAAGTTTCAGCTTTTCCGATGCGGAAGATCTCCTCTCAGAAGCTAAGGAGCTGGTAAATAAATATACTAAATTTTTTTTAGTCAGACGGGTGGAATCTAACCAGCAAAACCACATAGCTTGCCATTAAAAGCACTGTCTGCAAGCTTTCCCTCTGCCTGTCCAGCGAGGACCACCCTACCCATTAGGGCTTTGGCTTGCAGGGTTAACTGGAGCTGAGTGGGAGGAGTCCCTGCCCTCCGTAACTTATCTGCCCTTCCAGGTCCTGCCAATAAGTACATATTTTTATATAACCATAATTACATGTTTATTGTATATATAATTAATTTAATTTGTATATATTGTGCAATAAAAAATTGTAGTGTTTTTTTTACAATATAAACCTCTCTTCCTAAAAGTCTGCAGACAGTGCCATATCATTTGTGCTTATGTGCACAAGTGTGCTGCATTCTATTCCACCGCCTCTGTCCCACTCTGCCATGTGTGGCCATCTGTTAGTCAATGACTAGAGACCGTTATTTTAGAACAAAGACAACTTGCACTTATATAGCGCCCTCCACGCAGAGCAGGGTCTCAGTGCGCTTAACAATGGCGGAGCCTGACTTTGAGCCATAAGCACAGTTGAAAAGGAAAGTCTTAAGGTGGGACTTGAGAAAGGGGGGAGAGAGGGGGATTGAGGGAGTGTGTTCCAAACTTTTGGGACGAAAAATAAGGAGCAAACGGGGAGATTAGGTGGAATTGTTCTTAACAGAGAGAGCTGTTAGATTGTGGAGCACCCTGCAGGCACAGTGGATGAGGCAAGGTCCATAACAACTTTCAAGAGGAAACTAAACAGATAATATAGTAATCCCCGCGTTCCGTATTTCACATTGGGAGCTCATCTACCCAAAGTGTCAAAAGCGTTCTGCCGTTTTTTTAAAAATGTAAAATGTAGTGACTGTGTATTTTGTAGGCAATTAAAGATATCTAAAAAGAGCAATTTACAAGGGGATGGGGATAAAAGGGAAGTTGAAATGGGATTGAATTTTAAGGATTGCTCATTCAAAGAGCCTGCACAGACATGTACTTTGAATTTCTACATTTCTGAAATGTAATCCAGTATAATAAATCTTACTAAGAACTTGAAGTTCTCAGTAATTTGTGTGTAACAACATCACTTATTCAAAGCCATAGTGGGCTTCCTAGTTCCTGCTCCACGCATGATAATGAATACATTATTGACCGAGACATGTTCAAAAAACAGATGTGCAGATGGTATTAATAGTGAAACTGGCTAGTGAAAAATAACATCAAAGCGATTGAGCGAATGAACAGTTTACAATTCAGCGTTTACTGTGATTATATGATGTAAAGTGAGTGCTCCGCACAGTGTGCGCATTTTAACCTCTTTTGTTGCTTTTTAATGGTGTTTGCTAAATAAGTCAAGGTTGGTGGAAAACCAGGGGCATTGGGAAGGGAGCAAGAATTAGGAAAGAATTGGGTTGTGGGATATGCACAATCCGTAAATAATCTGTGCCCATTCTCTAGAACTCCATCCTGGAGTCCCTCTGACTCATTCCCTCCCTCCTTCATCTCACTGAGTTTCTGCCTTGAGACCTACCTCTTTGTTGGTGCTTTCGGTCACGTTTCCCCTCTTCACTCACATCACCTCCCACCCCCAACGCCGTTATTGTTGAGCAGTTTGGGATGTCCTCCCGACGTGAAAGGCTCTGTATCAATATAAACATGTTTTATATTGTAAGAAAATGGGGTGAAAGACTCACTCTTGGCACCAGTGGTTTTGAGACGTTTTCCTACATGAAATGCGCTATATAAGTGCACGTTGTTATTCAAATGCTGTAACCCGGAACAAACCACAGCCCAGACAAATTGCAGTGAAGTGATTCTCTGCCTAATGTGCTAGTTCCTGGCCACCTGCATTGCCAAGGTCCCATTGCTGTCCCTTAGGGGGAACAGGGTTGTGTTGTGGTCACTTATCGTTACATAGGACAAGGCCAAACCAGCAAAGTTTTAGATAACATTACTCAGAACTTATAAATAGTTGACAAATGTTTGTGATATTTGGGGATCTGTACTGACATTCATTTGGTTAATTGTTCACAGACTGTTGTTGTATTTAAAGTCCTGTTAAATAGCACAGAGAAGTAACAATAATAATCCTTGCATTTGATGTGGCATGTCGCAAAGATTTCTTAAAACAAATTTACCAGAAATTGCTATAAATTGTAGTGACTATATATTCTGTGGGCAGCTAATTGTGTGCCACGTACGTAGTGAATGATAGACTTAATTTGGGGATTGTCAGCCAGGAGGACACCAGGAGAAACTCCCTTCTCTTTTCGAAAGTTGTCACAGGATCTGTAATTTCTAGCTTGGTTTAACGTCTCATCTGAAGGACAGAACCTCCAGCAATGCTGCGCTGACTCAGACTTGCAATGGCTCGTCAGGCTAGATTGTGGGTTCTAAGTCACGACTGTTGGGTGAGGTGAGCGTGCAACCAACCGAGCCTGTCTGATGTCTGGTATTTAACAGGACATTAAACACGTTGTGCACAGCTAGGGTTTCTCAGCAAGTACTAGTATTACTTTTTCTCTGGAGCTTTTTCCAATGCAGCCCACCCCAGATTAAACAACAACAGTAACCACTTCCATTTGCCTAGCAGGATAGACAGTATCCAAGAACACCAAAACACTTTGTTTTTTAAAAAAAATTAAACGAAAAAGAACATTTAGTTTCTTTTAAAGGAAAATAAAATGAAACGTTTTGCAAAATACATTCACAAGGAATGAACTTCCCTCCCAGCTTTTATTTATCTAAATCTACTACAGACAGAGAGCATCTATTTGTACGAGAGTAAACTGAACTGCTTTGAGCTGAAGCCATGTGAGGATTTATTTTTTTTTACAAACAAAATATGTTAATTGTCTGCTGTACATTTCAATCTGAATTCTTTCTGGGACTGGCTAATTGTATTGTACAGTATCGCTTTGAGGGGAAATATCATCTGTGAGCAATGAACATCCAGCCTTAGAACCATGTTAATGAGATTCCTTTTGTCTGTCCACCTGTTAACCTGCAAACACGATGTTGTCTCTGCAGTTTAACAAGGCCGTGAAGCACTTTGGCGAAGAGTCTGGCAAAATCCAGCCGGACGAATTCTTTGGGATGTTTGATCAGTTCCTCCAGGCTTTCACAGAAGCAAAGCAGGAGAATGAGAACATCAGGAGGAGGAAGGAGGAGGAAGAGCGAAGGGCAAAGATGGAAGCGCAGGTCAGACACCACAAGTCTTTATATATAGGAATATGAGATTGCAAGTTCCTCGGCTGTACTAAACCTCATACCGCATTTGTCCTGAACTTGCCTTTCCTTTAGCGGCCTCCTCCAGTGGAGTGGGAGGGGTGGAGAGTCGGGGTAGGCGGGTGATTGAAGAGGAAGGGCCTTGAAGGAAGCAAGGGAGGGGGCGAGGCGAAGCAACTGTGGGATGGAATTCCAAAGGGTGGGGGCTGAAGGCCTGACCACCGTTGGTGGGTCGGGCAGGTCGGAGGACATGGAACAGGCTGGAGTCCGCTGAGCAGAGGGAGCGGGCAGGTCGGTACGGATATATATATATTACATACATATGTATTTTTTTTTAGCTGAAAGAGCAGCGGGAGAGGGAACGCAAAGCGCGGAAGGCAAAAGAGGGCGGAGAGGAAGGTGGCGAGTTTGACGACCTGGTGTCGGCGCTCAGGTCGGGAGAAGTCTTCGACAAAGACTTCAAGCTGAAGCGCAGCCGAAAGCGAGGGAGCAGCCAGGTGACCGAGAGCAGCCGGGAGCGACCAGTCACTAAGCTGAATTATTGAGCCCTGCCCCGCTCGCTCGCTGTGGTGGTGGTGGTTTTGGAGCAACACAACAACCTCGGTAGCCGCAGGCTAGCACATCACCATCAAGTTTCGATTGTACTGTGTGATTCCACTGCCTCTCGGCCACATCGGTGGCTGCTGATCCTTTTACCCTCCTCTCGGCTGTGTGTATTTGCACCACTGTCCTTGCAAAGAGAATTCCGGGCCCGTTTGTGGTGCTGAAGCACAACCCCCCCCCCGCCCCTTCCGCTCGAAGCAGTGAAACAATTCCTAGGACATTCGATCGATGGGTAGAACCTTTCATCCCAGCTCCCCCTCTTTCCCCTCCCCAACCCCCCTACCCCCCCCTCCCCCATTGTGAGTTTGGTTCTTCGTAATGAAGGCGGTCGTTTTTATTTCCTACACAAAGTTGTACTGGTGTGACAGTGCCTTGCACCTAAGGGGGAGGGAATATGGTGTTGAAACATCGCAAGACACTTGTGGAACGAACTGAACGACTCTGAACCCTTGGCTTTGACTATGAAGTAGCTGAGGCATGTTAAGGAGATCGTGTATGAAGGCCGAGCATGAATGGAATACCTGAAGCCGAAGAACCCGTGCATTTGTGGCTTTGACTCAGTTTCGAGGGGTTGGGTAGATTCCCTTGATAATTATTCAAGCTGTCATTCGATTTTTGGAGGAGCCAAAAAAACGAGGCTTCTGTTTCAAACTTTAGGTTTAACTCCCAAAACTTTTTTTTTTCTCTCACTTAAGAAGTAAGATCATGGGGAATTTGTTTATAGCACCTGGGTGATATCCAGATTTCCTTGGCTTTTATATATATATATAAAAATATAAATAGATATATATAAAAAAAACATTCCACGCTTAATGGGGATGATGGTAAAAGGGTTCTCTGAAGAGACAACGATAAATATGTTTAAGCTTTCTCCTTGCTACTGGCAGGTCTAGAGCAAGACCGCAACCAGACACAAAATATGGAGCTGCTTATTATATTGTTTTGTTTTTGTTTTGCAAGTTGTATTTTTTTTTCGGGGAAGGGGGGGGGAAGAGTGAGAGAGAGAAGAGAGAGAATCATGTTTAAAAGAAAGTGTGCGATATGGGATTGAAAGGTTGCGCGACCTTTGGTAAGCTCACATGTAACTACCGCCCTCTCCTGCAGTCTGAAAACACTATGCTGTAATGTAAAGAAGACCGTGTGAATACTTTAGGACATTTGAACCTTCTAGCCTATTTATATTTGGACATAATTGGAAGAGGTTTCAGACCATTATATATTTGAAGTACTGTAACAAAACGGATTCAGTTTTTTTTACCAAATTCTTATGGTTATAAATGGACCTTAATTTGGTATTAACTTGGCCGTCTTTTTTTCACCCCACCCCTTTTCTTCCCACTGTATAGTGACTTGATCCCTTAACCAAAGTGCCTGCAAACAGGTTTGTGTTTGAGAACAATGCTCACTGTAGTAAACTAGAGGATTCAGTATCTGATTTTTTTTAAATAACAAAAAAAAACTGGTTTGGACACTGTGCTGAATTAACTATTGGCTAGGAGAATGAGTGTCCTGATTGGTCCTACAAAGAGGGGGAACACAATAAAAAAAACCTTAGGTCTGATTGGTGTGTGTGTGTGTCTGTGTGTGTGTACATATGTATGTGTGTGTGTGTATGTACATACGTATGTGCGTGTTTGAATGTGTCTCATCCTCTGGATTCTGACACAATCCATCTTTGCTTTGGCTTTCTGAGATGGAAGCAGAAAGCAATCCCATGTGCCACTGTTAAGTGTTTTAGACTGGTGCTGGTTCCTTTAGAAGTCCCATTTGTTCCTTGGAGGTCTGTGAGTATGTGTGTGTGCTTGCGTGTGTGTGTGTGTGTGTGTGTGTCTTTCACAACAATTTTGAAAACCATGCCAAAAAAAAGGTAAAATATTTGTAAACCGGAATGTATGCCGAGGATCTCATTAGCTTGGTAATTTAGTGCGATATCATTACTTAACATGTTGAACAGTCAAGTCACTTTCACACAATACCATGTACCTTTCTGACCTGTAAGTTCCCAATAGTGGTAACATGCAATAAAGAAAAGTAGATGAACGGTGGTTAACAGTGAATGCCTCATGTGGTCTTTGGGGAGACTCTACACATGCTGATCATATAATAATATTCCTTGTATTTGATGTAGCCATTGTGATGTCTCAAAGTGCTTCACAGAATATACTGTAAAGTGAATTTACTGTATATATTGTGGGTGAAACGCGGCAGTACCACACAAACAGTCATGGATTGAATGACCAAATTATTTTTTAAAAGGATTTTAACCCCCGGAAAATGATCCGCCAATCGACCAACAACAGGGTTCCTACTTACTACTAGGTAAACGGAGGTGTTTGGAGTAAGGAAACTTGCTTAAGGTTTTGCCCCACATGGGAATCAAACCCAGATCCTACTGCTTGTGAGGCGAGTGCTGAGGATGATCTCCTGCTCTCTCTCTGTCGGGCATTAAGAGCGAAATTACCTGAGGTCTGGTAATCTGTCCTAGGGCTCAGGTGAAGCCTTTGTATTTATGGAACACCAATGAATATTAACCAGAAGTTTCACCGTTTACTTTGAGGTTTGCAGATTTATCGCATCTGGACCAGGTGCAATGTAGATACTTAATCCGTGCTATTTCTTCATCACACGTGTTTTCCTGACTTGCCCGCTTGATATCCATTGTTCAGGCCGTTTGATGGGATCTGGAATCGGTTCAGTCTTCATTCGTTGATGTGATAAACTAATGTAATGCATCTGCCACCCCCTAATACCAGTGAGGTTTACATTTACTTTTATCTTAAAACTCCTGTCTTGAATGTTTAATACTCTGCCCACTTAGCCATGCCTTTAGGGGAACAAAAAAATCATCCTTTTTGCTGTTACAATACAGCTCCATTCTGCCCTTTTTCTCAGAATAAGGAATGGATTGGTGTTGCTAATAATAACAATAATAATCCTTGCATTTGATATAGTGCCTCATCACATCATTTAGACGTATCAAAGTGCTTCACAGAATATACTGTAAAGTGAATTGACTATATTTTGTGGGCGAAATGCGGCAGCCAATTGTGCAAAAACAGTCATGGATTGAGTGACCAAATTATTATTATTTATTTTTGAAGGGATTATTACCCCCAGAAAGCGATCCGCCAATTGACTAACTACTGGGTTCCTACTTACTGCTAGGTAAGCAGAGGGCGTGTGGAGTAAGGAAAGCTGCCTGTGGTTACACCCCGCCTGGGAATCGAACCCAGGTCCTCTCACTTGCAAGGTGAGTGCTCTAACCAATACCCTACAGCAAGGTGGACCAACTGGTTTATAAAAGCAATGTATACAAGGTAATGGAGATGATCCTGGAATAAATATTCAACGCAGAGCTGTAATGATTTAGGTGTTGGGGAAATCTGATAATTTTGGGAAAAAAATCCTTCATTTCATCTGGTCCACTGGCTCCCTCCATAACACATAAATGTGTACAATACAAACATATTGCTTATGCGGCCTGCGGACATTTCTCAAATAGGGCATCCGGCCCTACAGGTCTCTCTGGGAGTGAGGTAGAGGATAATAAATAACAAGAATCCTTACATTTGGTACATCACCTTTCACGTCAGGATGACATCTCAAACTCTTCACAGGATAGGTATACTGTCATGTACACTGACTGTGTATTTGTAGGCAAATGTGGCTGCTCATGTGATTACTTGTCTGCTGCCTGTTTTATAGAGCGTCTGTTTCAGTTTTTGTTTTATAAGACCAAAGTATACAAGGTATTGGAGTTGACCCTGGAATGAATATTCAACACAGAGTTATAATGATTTAGGTGTTGGGGAAATCTGATACTTTTAAAAAAATCCTTGCATTTGATATAACATTTTTCACATAGGGAGAATGTCTCAATTCACTTCACAGAATACACTGTACAGTGACTGGGTATTTTATATTTGAACATGGAAGCCAATTTGCACACAGAATGTCCCACATCCAGCCATGAAGCAAATGACCAATTCCGGTAATTGTTAGCAGGACACCAGGAGAAACTCCCTTTTGATCTGCGTTCTGCTGCAGAACATAACAAACAAATCACACTGTGCTAGTTTAAGCAATCTTAAGAATCTTGCTTAGTTCAGTGCACAGATGGTGTTACCAGCACTTTAAGCTTCATTGAGATGTTTTAGCATTTGCAAGGTGAAATAAATTTTTCTGATTTTAAAAAAACGTGAAACGCATCATGATTGAATTTTGGTAAACATTTTGTAAATGAAACTCTTGTGCCTGATTGAGTTGAGAACATTTATTATAGTAGTAATTATAATGACAATACTTGTACTTCATTAAACACTTTATCATGCTTTTGAGATGTCTCAAAGCGCTTCACAGGATTTACTGTGAAGTGTAGTGACTGTGTATTTTGTAGCCGAATGCAGCAGCTAATTTGCTTGCAGCATTGTCCCATACACAGCCAAAAAGTGAAGGACTGATTTTATCTGGGGGGGGATTTTATTCCTTTCAACAAATATTTGGTCTGTTTGTGGAACATTGCTGTGCGCAATTGGCTCCCGCGTTTCATCCACAAAATACACAGCAAATTCACTTTACAGTATATTCTGTGAAGTGCTTTGAGATGTATAAATGACATGATAAAGAGCTATATCAAATGCAAGGATTATTATTACCTGGGAGACAGAACATCACAAGATCTGTGTTTATTATAGGGTACTTATAATGTGTTTTCCACCTCCCTGTCAATAGAGACCCACTGACTCTTTCATCCTCTCTGCCCCTCTGCTAGTGAGCTCCCTGGAGAATTATTTCCTTTGAAACCAGGTCCATTCACTCAGTGTTATAAAAGGAGCAGAGAGAGAGAGAGAGGGCAGCGCCATCTGGCATTTCAACAGTACTATTGGTGAGGGATTTACAGCCATTCTTGCACCTTGCTAGAATATTCAGTATATCTGTACTCTATACTGTGGCCGTGGCTGCCTTTAGAACTTGCATTGAGCCTATCTTTAATTAGGAATTTGGGATTCGCTTTGAAAGCATTGCAGTTCAGCCTTGGTTAAAACATTCTGTAGACAAGCGTCTGTTGTTGTAACTTAAGATGAGATCCTGCCTAAAATAGGAAGCGATTTACGACCTGTGCATTTTAGTGATGTCCAGTCCAGATGAGAGCGAGCGAGCAGGGGCAACGTGACTGAAAACATTACAGCCATCCTATACATTTTAATAAGGTGCTATATCAAATGCAAGGATATTATTAAGTATTTTCTGGGTTGACTCTTCTTAATCCCATTTAGCAGCCGACTGAC